TGTTTGCTTTTTTTTTCCCATACAAAGAAGGATCAACTGTGAACTGACAGCATGAAGAGCTACATTTGTCAGTGTTTTATTAAAACAGTAAATATTGAGGAAACCATTCAGGCATTTCTCTAAAGATGTGATTATTGTTACACAGAACAGCAGAATGTGCTCTTGCAAATATTATTTATTGAATATACACCAGCTGTACACAAACACAGAGCAGTAGCTCAAAGCTCCTCTGCCCTTCTCAATTCCTGCTGAGGGAGGAAGTTGTGTGAATGCCACGTGAGGAAACCTGTGTTTACACACTTCCTATCCTTAACTTCTCCACTGAAACTGCAGCTCCTGTGCTGCAAAGTGGGTTTCATCACAGCAAAGATCACGTTTCACTGAGAGAAGCATTAAAAGCAACAAAAAGTCATTTGCTGGGGCATGAACCATCACCCTTCAACACTTTTAACCCACCCAAACAAGACCCCAGCCTCTCCAAGCAGTTCAAAAGCAGTTCAGTGGTTTTCCTGCCTGCCTGATCAAGCCCATTCAGCTTCCTCTCCTAAAAGGAGACTTATTATGTTACCTGGACTAACAAGCAGTAAAAGCTTAATTAAATTTTGAAGGCATTTAATTGGGTTCTCGCACTGTGGGGTCTGGAAACCTGCACTTCTGGCTCGGTTTCCAAGGAAAACAAGTTTAACCCTAGCACTGACAGCACTTCCCAGAGCTATTTATGCTTCCAGCACCGAAGAGTTTGGGCTTTTTAAGAAGATCTCACCAGGGAAATGCACTTTGGAGGGCACTCAGGCAGGGACACAACCTCAGCTTCCCTGGCCCTGGGCTCCCCAGACCTGCCCAGTTTTCCTCCCACCTGATCCTGTTGCAGGACAAGTTGAGCTCCCGTAACTTCAGCAGTTTGTCCAACTTCTCCATCTTCTCGATCTGGTTGTTGCTAAGATTCAGTGTCTCCAGCTGAGAGCAGTTTTCCAGATTTTCTATGAACTGAAGAACAGGAAATGAATCCCTGAGCATTGCAGGGTTGTGGGTTTTTTTTAAAGGAAAAGCAGATTTCTGTTTTACCAATCACCTGTTCCCTACAAATACCAAGTGTTCTAACATTTAATTAACCACAGTTCCACTGTTGGGTTCTAAAACCTCACTTTAGGTACAGACTTGCATAGTGCTGGAAGAGAAAAACTGGATTTTAAGTTTACAATGGACCAGTCTCATTTACATGAAAGAGAATGTCCCATTAAAAACCACACCCCCAAAAAACCAAACCCAAACCAGCACAATCCAAAAGCTAAAAAAATCACACAAATTAATGGTGTTTTAGACATCACTCTAATTAATCAGGTGTTTTTCTTTTTGCCTTTTTTTTTTTAACAGAAGCTGTTTGCAGAACTAAGCTAACAGGATATGTTGTTCACATCCACTTAAAATAAACCTTTGCTGAAAAATAAATCAAAATCAACTTTAAGCTTGGTTTAATGTCAAAAACCTTACCTTAAACTTTTTGTCCCCATCTTTTGGGGAAGAAAGATTCAATGAGCTTATACATGCCAAGTTTTGCTGTTTGGACAGAGCCTTTATTAGGGGCTCAGTGATGTACTTAACTCCTGAGGTAACACCATTTTCACCTGAAATTAAGCACAGGAACCACCTTTAGCAGTGAAAAGAACTGGTGATTTTTATATTAGTCTTGAATTTCAGTCTCAATATTGGTAAAACATTGAAAATCATCCCCTCCCTCACTACTGGATGAGGAGAACCAGCACATCAGAACCATTTACAGGGAGGACTAAAAGTCTCGTTATTCTCATTCCCTCGTTTGAGTTCCAAAAAAAAAAAAAAGATGAAAGCAAGTTTTTCAGGCTTCTTTCCAACAGACCTTACATCCTTATCCACACAACTCCCAGAACGTGGCTTGCACTTTTCCACCAGCAGCTGTCCATCATACAAACCTTTCTGAAACTTCAAAGCAGGTCCCACGTTCTCTGCTGGAATGTCCCGTTGCTGGCACACCTGCTCCAGGCTTTTGGGAGCAGCTGGAGGTGTCTGCTGGCCAAGGGGAGACGGGGAGCGGGTACCTGAGCTGACAGGGGACATGGCACGTGGTGTCTGAGGAGCTGGTTTTGTGCCCGGTGCTTTTCTTACAGAGCCTTTCCTCATCTCCAAAAATCCCAGATGTCACAGGGCAGTGCCTGGGAAAACAGAAAGGAACGTCAGGATAAATCTTAAAGCACAACAAATGGGAGAATGTTGTGCCAAAGCCACATGTAAGCCAGTTCTCCAGCTTCTCCCAGTTCTGCTGGCACTGGGAGGAATGGTTACACCTTTCAGGGCTGGGGATGCTCTCCCCTCAGACTAACAGAGCTAACAGAGGATTGGATCCCAACTGCTTTTACCACAGGTAGAAATCGCCCACTTTGCAGCAAGAAGAGCAAATGGGAAAAAAAAAAAAAGGCAGCAGAGAAAAAAGTCTGGCATTCCCAGAGTTTCCCTTTCTGCAAACAAATTATCATGCCGTGACTGCCCGGGAAATCCCAGGGAATGTTAACAGGCACTTGTCCCAGTGAAGATGATGTTTCCCCAGGGATAAGGGTAGGAAAAGCCACGTGCAAGTCCTGTGGGACGAGTCTCTTGCAGGGATCATCTCCAGGGACTGAGTTTTGTGGACAACTACACCCAGCGAACAAAGAGAAAAATACGATTTTAGGGGAACTTGGAGCTCTGCGAGCGATCACATTTGCTCTTCCTTGAAACGGATTTTTTTTCCCCTCCAAAAGTGGAAAGGAAAGAAAGTCAAGGATAGAGGGGCAAAGAAAAGCCGCTCTTTCCCATCCGTTGCCCGGAGGAACAACTCAAACAGGAGCAGGAGCATGAGGGTGGAAGGGGCGGCAGAGGGAGGGGGATGCCGCGGGCGTTCCTCGCTGTCGCAGGGAGCGCAGTTGTCACTTCCCCGCCGCTTCCTGAGCGCAGATCGCGGTCTGCAGTGACACCCACGGCACAGCAGGAGGGAAAGTGGGGCTGGCCTGGGGTTCCCCCCTCCCCGGCGGGGTCCTGGGTGCTCGCAGTGCCCCCCATCCCCTCCCTGGGGACGCACCGAGGCCGCTGCGGGTCCCGCCGCTCCCCGCGTCCCCTCAGGCGGCCGCTTTGATTACCTGCGTTGACATGGTAACGCCGTGCCACCGCCGCGCCGGCCAGGGCGGCCCCTGGGGCGCTGCGGGATGACAGCACCGGCTCTCAGCGCGCCTCCCCGCCGCCTCCTCGCCCTCACCGAGCGAGCGATCGCCACTCACCCACCCCGCCCGCCCAACCGCGGGGTTGCGGCTCCTTTAAGGGCGCCGCCTGAGGGGCCGCCCCGCCGCCATTTTGTCCGGCGGGCCCGGCGGGTGAGAGGGAAGAGGGCGGGGCGGGGCTGTGTGGAGGCCACGCCCCTCCCGCGCGCCGTTCCCGCCCCTCAGGCCCCGCCCCTCTCCCTCAGGGCCCGCCGTGAGGGGGCTCGGGGTTTAAACACAAATCGGTGTGAGAAAATAAAACCCGGAGCAGTTTGGGGGTAATTAAAGCCCGGATCACTGCGTAAACAACGAAACTTGCTCTTCTCGTAGCTATTTTTGTACTTATCTACTTTTTCCTGTGTCACGCTGCAAGCCTGCGCAAATAGGTTTTGTGCTGTAATATTTGGAAATATTCGTAGGTCCAAATCACCGCCGTGTCCACAGAGGCGTGTAAATAAATCTCTTTTAAACCCTTCTGGGCTGTGTTAGTTTGGGATCGCTACGACCAGTTGTGAAACGCAGGGGTGGGAAAACCATCAGGCTGTACATGAGAAAAAACGTGTGGAAGGGGCATCATTAGATTTAAAAAAACCATTATTTCACAGTATTGTTAGGCCTTCAAAGCGTTTTCCAATTTTTCCAATTCCAATTTTTCCAATGCCAATTTTTCCAATTCCAGCGTTTTACTCTTTGCATCTTATCATTTATAAACCACCCACATAAACTTACTGGCGTTTAATAACAGTTATTTTGACCATTCGCTTCATTAAGCCCCTCACATTTTGTAAGATTTTATCACCGCTTCCCTCGTAGTTTATTACACCTGGGAAAAACCCCAGTTGGCCTTACTGTTAATTGAATTTTCTATTGATCAGAAATAGTTTTGTAAATGCCTTTCCCGTAAAGGTTGAGCGCAGTATTTGTTTAAACTTCAGCATTCTTGCACAACTTTGTTTAACTTTACATAAACCTGGTTGTTGTGGTGCTGTCTTGGCTATCAGACCTGCAAAGGTTTTGTCACCAAACGCTTGTGGGGTTGTTTTTGGGGTTTTATTTTGCAATTGCTTTTTAAAACAGTGCACGTTGTTGATATTTTGTGCCCCAATGTTTTCATAGTGAGAACTTTATTTGTAATGGAAATACTTGAGAAGTTGGCATCATCGGGAATGCAAATGGGCAAACGAAATTTGGAAGGGAAGAGTTATTTCCAAACACAAAGTTCTGATTTAAACACATTCAGGGTGTTTGATAGCACTCCAAATGCATTTTGTCCTCGAGACAAAAATTGAAAATCACTTTGATTGAAATAAAAATTATTTCATGAAGGACAAAAAATCTATTTTTTGGTATTTTGTTGGTTGCTGGGGTTTTTTCTACCTCAGAAAATGATTTTATTTAATGTCATTACCAGAGGGTGAGGTCTGACTCAGGGTTGCTGCGGACACATTAAAAAATGAAAATAGATAAAAATGAAATAGATAAAAATGAAATATATAAAAATGAATATATAATGAATATATATGAATATATAAAATGAAATATATGTGAATATATAATGAATATATATAAATATATATATATAAATATATAAAAATGAAAAATTCCTAAGTTTAGCTGTTTTGGCTTCCTTGGGAGAGGCAAACAACATTTTAATAAAAGGTGATCTGTGATTGATGATTAACTGGGAGGGGAGTGTGCTGGTGGCTCTGCTGTCCCTCCCCAGCACTGGGGGTTTAACCAGCCCCAGTAACCCCACTCTGTGCTGCTCTCACAGACACAATGACTGCTTTAATATGTCTGATTGCTTTGCTATTTTCTGGGACAGCTTTTAGCCAAGACAAAACGTAAGTACAGCAAATGCAGAATTTACTGGCAATGGCACTTGATTGTTGTCTGCTCTTGTGGATAAACAGAGCCAGAATTTACAGAGCCACTACAAAGAGCACCATTACAACAGCTTTATAATTGTGTCATAGAATAACTCTGCCTGATTATCTTGCTTGCTTTAAGAACTGAATTAAAAATAGAAAAAAAAAATTCCCAAAGAAATCTAATTCCATTACCTTTTATTGTTTTAATTCCATATCCAGGTATGTCCTTACAGCACCGAAGATCTTCCGAGCTGGGACCTCTCAGCAAGTTGTAGTTCAAGCTTTTGGTTACAACGAGGAATTTCCAGTCAATATTGCCCTGAAAAGCTTTCCAGATAAATCTACTGTTTATTCTTCTGGTTTGATTACTTTAACTCCAGCCAACAAATTCCAACAGGCTGTAACTTTGACAGTAAGGAATTCGGACTTTTCTTCCACTCTTTCTATTCTCACGTTTAGTGATAAGTGTTAAAAATTATTATGGTGAGTCTTCATTTGTTTAAACTGGGGAAGGAAGCCTAAAAGCCCCATTTTGTTATGTCTGAAATTCAAATTACATGGAGTGAAATCGGTGAAGTTGAACACAGAATCAAACTTTTTTTTTTTACAGACATTATCCTGGTTGCATAATTTTACAAAAATAAAGAGAATCAAACTAAACCATCAACCACAGCAGCAGCTTTGGTGTGGCCAGGATTTCTTATGTGTATAAATAGAAGTCTGATCACTTGTACTGTTGTGACCTCATCACTGGGCTTTGAACTTTGCTGGTTTAGTTCTGGGCATAAATAAATGCAAAATTTCAAAGTATCTGTAGCTTAATACTCCAGATCATCACCTGCCATGTAAGCAAGAATAAACCCTTGTAAGTGCTGGTATTTTTATTTAAAGATACTCAACCACAGGACAGTAACTGCTATTCAGGTACTCTTCTCACCAAAAAGTACTGCAGGGGAAAAAATACTTTAATTTCCATTAAAAACCTTGATTTCATCTCCCCCAGCTTCAACCAAAAGATTTACCAAGAACTGACAATTCGGAGAAGTATTTGTACTTGGAAGCCGTTTCTCCACATTTTACAAGAGTGAAAAAAATCCCTGTTTCCTACGAGAATGGGTTTCTCTTTATTCACACGGACAAACCAATTTATACTCCTGATCAGTCAGGTAAATGGGGCTTATTTGTCTTGGCTGGTATTTCATTTTTAAATCTCTGGACTCTGCCAAGGAATTAGGATTTGAAGTGTTCTTTAACCTCCTGGTTGTGTTTTGTTGCCATCAGCTGCTATTTCATGTTTTAATCAGCTGTAATAATGCCTTGAACTATTTATTAATGTTGTAAAAATTAACAACTTCTCCCCATATCCTCTCAGTCCCTGCCCTTCTCACCTTGAATGATTAATTCGTGGCACAAGAGCTAACGATTTTCCTGGGAATATGTTAAAAATACTGGGGATTTTTTTGATTGTTCAGGTTTGTTGTGGGGTTTTGTTTGTTTGTTTGTTTGTTTGTTTGATCTCTATTACGGTTTGACTTTTTGAGATTTATTGCTCCCATTCTTCCAGTGAAAGTCAGGGTTTACTCTCTGAATGAGGAATTGCATCCAGCTCAGAGAGAGACTGTCCTGACTTTTGTGGTGAGTTGTAATTGAATTTAATATTAATACTCTGTAGCTCTAAGAACAACTGAATGTAGTCAGATGGTGAGTCAGTGCTGCAATCAATATTTAATAAAACTGTTAGGTGTTTCTTTTAAAAGATCTAAAAATGCACAGCTGGATAGATGTTTCCAAGTCCCAGATCTGAAGTTGTTACAGAATAGAAAAAGGAAAAAAAAAAAAAAAGGAAAAAAATATCTTTACTAGTAATACTATGTGGGTTTCATTCTGTTTGTTTCATTTAAGATATAAAAATAAGAACAATTTGTCACGAATTTTTCTTTCCTCTTTGAATTTCAAGGATCCTGAAGGAGTAGAAGTGGATATTTTAGAAGAAAAAGACTTTACTGGAATAGTTTCTTTTCCTGACTTCAAGATTCCTTCTAATCCTAAGTAATTTGTTTCATGCTTTTATGTGAATTATTAACATAATGATTTAAAGTGATTTTCATGGAGTGGTTTTGCATGATGGGCGTGTTTGAAATTTGGAGATGTCTGACATTTCCCATAGGTGGAACCATAGTATAAATAAGGACATTATAACCAAGAATTCTCCTCAAAGAACACTTAGTGGTAGGTTTGTTTTGCTCAATTAAGAAGGAAGATTAATTAACAATTAAAGTTTTCCACTGTAGAGACAGAAACAGCATCAAAGGCGTGTTGATTTCAGGGAGGGGGATTGTCCATATTTCACACAGGGATTCTTACAAATAACCAGGATTTTTCCAAGAACAGCAGCCCAAAAAATAAATATCCTTTCAATTCTCCTTTTAGTCTTGAGAGGGTGCTGAAGCTTTACTGAGCTGGCAGAGGGTGCAAGAGGGGCTTGGAAATCCAAGGTTAGGCTGATTCCATTTTCCAGCTCCTTCCAGCGCTTTAAAATCAGTTGCAAATAATTATTAACGTACCAAAGACAATTCTCTCAAAGTTGACACTGACACTCTGATGCAGAACTTTCCTCTCAGAATAATTCTTAACATGAAATATTGTCGATTTTTGTCTCCAACATCAACTTTCAGTCTTAAAAACCCTTTGATTGTTGGCATTTGGCAGGTATGGGATTTGGAAGATTGTAGCCAAATATAAGAAGGATTTTGTAACCTCGGCTGTGGCACAATTTGAAGTGAAGGAATATGGTAAGATGTGGCCAGACTGTCAATCTTCATTTTTATGTATTTTTAATCACTCAGCCCCCTTGAGAGCACAAGGTGGCATCTCTGGGTACCTGTGGCTTCAGCATAAACCACATCCAAGTGCCTTCCTTTTCTGCTCCATTTACAGCAATGCCAAGCTTTTCCATCACCATAGAGCCAGAGAGAAACTTTATTAGCTCAGATAAATTTGAGAGCTTCAGGATCGCTGTGAAAGCGAGGTAAGGAAATCTGGCTTGGATTTCTAAACATTTTTGTGTCTCTTCTTCTTCTTCCACCCAAAGGATGATTCTCCTGTGTCCAGTATTTCCCTTCTTCAAGAAGCCCTTTCATCCAAATCCTCTCTGCTCTGTCAGAGAACTAAGTGACCCTTCTGAAAGTCCTTCCAAAGGGTTAATTTTCCCACCCAAGTTTTTCCCACCCATTTGTGTTCCATCTCCTGCCCCGGGGGAACGAGTCTTCTCCAAAACACAAATGCTTTTCTTGCACCCATTAAAGCCACCTTAAAAGCCTTTACGTTGTTGGTTTCTTCTCAGCTATTTTTATAACAAAAAGCTTCCAAGTGCTGATGTTTTCCTTCGGTTTGGAATAATCGACAGAGGGGAAAAAAAGATGATGCCCAAAGCAATGCATGTCACCAGGGTAAGGAGCTGCAAGTCTACTCTGTGTGGAGTTTGTGTGCTTGGTTCTGGACTGATCTAATTCCACTCAAGTTCTTCCATTCAATTTGGGCCTCCAGTCCCACTTTGCATCCACAGCTCCCCGCTGCCAACTTTTTCTGTGCCATCAGGGGCAGAGAAATTCACTTTAACTCAGGGGCAGCATCTCAGATAGTGCCATTTCAATCTGGTTTAATTCCTTTCTTGACCAAACTGATTAAAATTTCTATGAGGTAACTGCAGTGCTGCCAGAATGGACAAGAGAAATCAAATGGAGACAAACAGATCAAAATCATATTGATTTATTGTGGGGAGCCTGTTCTCCACTGATTGCCTCCTTTACTCATTTAGTGCAGATATCTCTGTGTTATTTCTGCCCCTTGTTGGCCCTGCCTGCAAACTTTGCAATATGTGCCGTTGCTGGATTAATTAGCAATAATTTTAGGCAATAAAGAATTCTTCTTCATTAAAACAGCACCTTTGTTTTCCTCTAAAAATAAACACTGACCAGAAACACACTGAATTTACATATAGATTATCTAAATAAAGTTTCTAAATTATTGACTCCAAAGTGACGGTTTCTGTGTCATTCCCAGATTGAAGATGGAGTTGCTGTGATCAACTTCAACAGTAAGGAAGCAGCAAGTTCCATAGGGTTCCAAAGTCTGGAAGAATTGGATGGGTCCTATTTATATATTGCAGCATCAGTGTTGGAGTCTAGAGGTAAGTTGCTTTTTAATTGAGGTTTTTGGTTTTTTTTAAACACATCTGAACAGGGCTAGAGAAGAAAATTATAGGGATAACTTTCCTAATATCAGGCTTCTTTTAATATCCAGAAGTTCTTCCAAAAACTTGTAAGGAAGTTGGTAAAAATGTCGAGGGATTAAACTTTTTTTTTAACTATCTGTTTTCACAAGAGTGTTGGGAGTTGACTCTCTGAATGCAAGGGCTTGGCTTTCACAGACAGCTTGTGCTGCCCTGGGAAGGGAAGAAAAGGGATGGGAATGTCTGCAGGATGGGAATGTTAAAAAGGGTCCCGTGTTTTCCTAGGTGGCCTCAGTGGGGAGGTGGAGTTCTCTGGAGTCAGGTTTGCTGTGTCTCCCTACAAGCTGAGATTGATTGCTACTCCTCTCTTTGTGAAGCCTGGCCTTCCCTTCTTCATTAAGGTCAGTGCCCACTGCAACGTGAACCCCACGAGGATAACCCTTTCCCTTTTTTTGGATATATTGCTGTGCACTTCCAATTTCCACTGACTTCTACAGCTTTCCAATGCCCTGTTGCACAACCAGCTTGGAAGCTTTTCCTTAAAAAAATGTCCCCGTTCACCCCAGCACTGTTACTGATTCCCATGAACAGGTGCAGGTGAAGGACACAGTGGATGAGCCGGTTGGAAATGTCCCTGTAACTGTCACTGCCAAATCCCTGAGCGAGCAGATGGATGAGACTGAGCTGATAGCAGAGGGCGCCGAGGCCGGGAGACGGGAAACGAGCCTCGCTGATGGCACGGCTTTGTTTGTCCTTAATGTCCCATCAGACAGCCGAATGGTGGAGTTTCAGGTGAGTTAAATTGTCGAATTGACCTCTTTCTCCGAGGGTTTAATCGTATCTTTGGAATGTGCAACACCAGCAGGGAGATTTTGCACTCAAGGGTTTGTGAACTTGGGGGCTCTTGCAAAGAATGGCTTATGAAATGCAGCTGCTCTGAGGAAACGTCACTTCTCTGTTCGAGTCCTTTCCTGCTCTATTTATTTATGCACTGCCCTTTTATATTTGACTGGATATTCAGAGATATTTTTATTAAAGAAAATATTAAAATCTCGACTGTTGTTCTATTCATCCCTCTGAACGATATTTGCAAAGTGATTTTAATATTGTCATCACTTAGGTATAATTCTATATAAACTATGCAGCCATTTTATTCCCTTCTCAGGTGAAAACTGCAGATCCACGACTTTCAGATGAAAACCAAGCAAGCAAAACCTACGAAGCCAGAGCTTATTCATCCCTGAGTCAGAGTTATCTGTACATTGACTGGGCTTCAAACCACAGAACACTGGAAGTAGGGGGTGTAATAAATGTGAATATTTATCCACACAGTCACTACATTAATAAAATCCATCACTACAGCTACCTGGTAAGTAACAGGTGCATGAAATATTGAATTGTAATGGTCAGAAATGAAAAGCCTCAGCATGGAATAGGAGCAGCTCACTCAGCTGCTCCCTGCAGATACAATCTGTCAGTTGGAGAGGAAAAAATTGTTGGTAAACTCATGTGTAAATTACATTTTAAGTCTCCATTGTTTTTAATTCTCATGTGACATTGACTGGGATTGAGAGCAAGTCACGCCAGTCTCAAGAGCTATTTCAGAAGCTGAAATGTGGAGGAAAGAAAAGAGGTGCAGAGACAGCACTTTGTTTTAGGGGAGGAGGGAGAGAAACCCCTTCCCTTGAACTGCAGCCACTGGTCCCAAGTGCATTTTGGTCAATGGTAGATTATACCTAACTGCAATTAATTACATGTGAAAAATACATTGAATATAAAATTTGACTTTGTTATTCTCCTTTCATTTTCATTATTATTATTATTATTATTATAGATCACATCCAAAGGGAAGATAGTAAGCTTTGGAACTCAGCAGAGAAACCAGGATTTGGAATATGAACATCTAACGTTTCAGATAACCCAAGAGATGGTTCCTTCAGCACGTCTGATCGTTTACTACATCGTTACAGGAGAAGAAACTGCTGAGTTAGTGGCTGATTCAGTCTGGCTGGATGTGGAGCAGAATTGTGAGAACAGCCTGGAGGTGAGCAGCAGAACAGGCACTGAAATTCGTGAGTGTGCATTCACTTCATGGGCAGATTTTTATCTCAGGTTTCCACAAGTTCCTAAACACTCACTGCCTTCAGGTGGATTGATTTTGGAACGATGTGCTTTCCAAATGACCCGTATTTGTTTTCAATTCACAGGTTAAGCTGCAGCCAAGAGAAGAGACACCGAAGCCAGGGGAGGTTGTATCACTCACCGTGAAAACACACTTCAAATCCTTTGTTGCTTTGTCAGCTGTTGACAAGGCAATATATGCAGTCACAGGAAGGAAAAAGAGAGCCAGGGAAAAGGTGAAGTAGAAGCCATAAAAGAAAATCAAGTTGTTCCTCGTTTCACTTTCACAGTCAGGATCTGTGACGTGCCATGCATACAGTCAGCCTGAAAACAGGCAGAAGGGCAATTCGAGCCAGAAGAAAAGCTCAAAATTATAAAAAGAATTCATTTACAGTCTTCTGATTTCCAGTAAAAGTAAAGTGTGGTTCTAAAGGCGGGTCTGAACCGTCTCATCAGTGCTGGTGCTTGAATTAGCTCAGATGTTGCTCCTGTGTGCTGTGAGCACATTTTCCACACCAAGGTGGCTTTCCTGCCCATTTTCTCCCTCATCATCTGTCGTGCTGCACGCTTGGCTTTGCTGAGGCTGGTTTTTCTCCTCAGATAATGCTCCACTTGGAGAAGAGCGACCTGGGCTGCGGGGCCGGCGGGGGCAGGAACAACGTGGATGTGTTCCGGATGGCTGGGCTCACCTTCCTGACCAATGCCAACGCTGATGACTCCAGTGGAGCAGGTGCATTCCTGGGGGTCAGCCATGGAACTGGGGTTCATCTTCTCTGAAACGTTGCATTGTTATTGTCATTCGTTCTGGTGGAACTCGGGGAAAATATTAGAAGGAAAACACCACTCGTGGCTCAGTTGCTGTCACAAAAATGAGGATATTTTCATGCCATTCAAATGGCAAACAGCAAAACTGCCCCACATTTGGAGTGTGATTTTATGGGCTTCATTTTTAAGAGGACTCTGCTGTTACAAAAGAAGGGAATGCCTTTTGTACTTATTTTTTGTGTATTTATTTGAACAGATGAAACTTGCAACGAAGTGGTGAGAACCAAACGGTCTGACTTGAAGGAGAAGATACTCGAAGAAGGTGTTAAAATTATTTTGAAGTATATAATTATATATTATATCTAATTATCTAATTATGAAAAAAAAAATCACATCCGTTAGGAATCAGGGGTCTAAATGTTTGCTTAATACTTGTAATGTCTTGGAGAGAGAGAGACTGGCAAATAGAGGAGATGACTTTAGAGAGGATCCCTATTTATAAAGCCCCTTAGGCATTTGCTGAATTTGAAGTCAGTAACATTTCAATTCACACTGAAAATGCAGCATTTGTTTAAGAGTTGAGTGCCCTGATCTAGTGGCAGGAGGTGGAATCTTTAAAGTGCCTTCCAGCCCAAACCAGGCTGTGGTTCTGTAATATTTGCTTTTTCTGAAGAGACAGAGCTGAAAACTCCCAGCCAGAGGAACCTTTGACTGATAAACATGCAAACATAACCCAGCTCCTCTCATCTAATTTCCATTTTTCATTCAGAATAGGGATTATTAAACTTTCGAAAAATCCCCTCCTCAAAGCTTGCACCTTCCCTGCAATCCTGCAAACAACTCAAGGGTGCTTTTGGAAACAAAAAGCCCATCTGAGGGCAGGGAATTGTTCTCTTTTCGTGTCCAGCATCCAAATACAAACGTTTGGACATCCGGCAGTGCTGCATGGCCGGGGTCAGGGCATACCCCGTGACTGAGACCTGCAGTGACAGAGCCCAGAGAATCCGCAGGAGCCAGATGTGCATTTCTGCCTTCAAACACTGCTGTGAATTTGCCAACAAGCTGAGGCTGCAGGAGCCAAACAAGCTGCTAATCCTGGCCAGAATGCGTGAGTATGGGAGCCCCCTGTTCCAGCAGGATGGGGGGAAAGGCAGAGGTTGGACCTCTGGAACTCCTCCTCTCCCAGTCTCTCCCTACAGCTGCTTGTTTAATCTGTCAGGAGACTGGACAGGTGTAAATGGAGGAGGTGGGATTAACATAGGCTTTTGACCGAGGGCATTCACATACCTTTTTACTTGTCTCAGGACTAACTTGAGCCAAGTGAGCAAAATACAGTATCAGGAAATTAAAACAGAAAGATAATGATGAAGCCTTTGCTTCATCTGCATCTGCTGGCCACTGGCAGGTGGTTTAGTTGGGTTTTTCTGACTGGCTTTATTCATGTTCTTCAGATTTTGAGGCTGGTTTGGAGCTGGATGAGGCCCAAGTTCGGAGCTACTTCCCTGAGAGCTGGTTATGGGAAGTTCACCACATTTCCTCAAGGTACTACTTTTCTCAAATCAGCTTTATAGATAGAAAGAAAGTGCTAAACTGGAGGTAGGTTGGGTGGTGTGTGCTGAAATACAGTCTTATCCAAAAAAAATCTACTCCTGCCATGTTTCCCTGGGGCAGGATGTGCTGAGTGGGGCCAGATTGGGGTCACTTTTCCTTTCACTTTCGACCTTGCTAAATGCCACCTCCTGTGAAATCAGCTAAACCCGGCTTCACTCAAAGCAAATTGCAGAGTTTCTGTTCTCTAACTGTGTCCTCACTGCTCACCTGAGTCTCTCAGGCACGGGAGTTGCTCTGGGCAGGTCCTGTTGTTGTGCTGATGAGCTGATGGTGTTTCCAGATTGCCGTTTGTAATGAATAGATGGGCTACCCACCTGTCAAAGACTCTGTCTGTCACCTTGCCTGACTCGCTGACCACCTGGGAAATACAAGGTGTTAGCATTTCCCAGAAAGGTAAGCACTGCAAACTGATTCGTTTGGAGCTGAAGAATTGGGGAGCTTGGCAGAGCCTCTCCTTGAGAGAGCCACACACATGCTCTAAAACATTCACTTTCCAGCTGAAAAACAGGCAAACATCAAAATCCACACTTTAGGGAAAAGAATTCACTTCATATCATGAAAACAAAGCCTGTCTTGTGTGTGACAGTGGCCCATCATGAGTGAGTTAGAACAGAAGAACAAAGAGTGAGTGACTCTTCCCTGGCACAACTTTGCATTGTCCTGCTGCCAACAGCTCAGGGACTTGAGATTTTCCTACAGGTTTGGTAATTCCAAGCAGAAAATCTGTTTCTCATTTTGGGAAGAAGCAACCCAAATGACCTGGTGTGTCAATGAGTGACAAGCAACAGCTTGGAACAAGAAGCAAGAGCCTGGTCACTCTTAGAAAGCTTGGAGAGTGCCCAAGCCCACACTGAAAAATGATAAGTCACCACTAAAGCATGTCAAGACTTTTTCAAACTTGTTGATCAGGATGAGACACTCTGCTTTGTGTTTCTCATTTTCTTAGGTATATGTGTGGCTACCCCTTTGGAGATCCAAGTTGTGAAAGATATTTTCCTGAGCATTTATGTCCCTTATTCCGTGGTCCGAGGAGAACAAATTGAGTTGAAAGGATCAGTTTATAACCATAAAGACTCTGCAATTCAGGTAATTTGTGTTCAGGAGTTCCAGGGGAAAGATTCCCACAATAAAAATTTTAAAAAAAAAAGGCATTTCCCCTGCCAGGATCCAGCATAAACAGATCCTCGGATCAGGCTTCTCCAGTCGTTAAGCTGGTGTTGTGTGTAGTGCAAAGAGAAAATGCCATTGCAGCAATTAATAACATTTCAGTGGCTTTAAAATACCTCTGTCTGGGAGGTGAGACATGAACATCTCTCCCCATTGCAGTTCTGTGTTGCAATAGCAGCTGGAAGTGGAATCTGCGCCTTTGGAGACTCGGCAGCCTCCGGGGCTCGGCGGCAGAGCTGCAGGTACAGGAGCCTGGCTGCTGGCTCCTCAGCCCCGCTGACATTCCAGATCCTGCCCTTGGAACTGGGGCTCCACACCATCAACTTCACCCTGCTGAGCCCCGGGAGCAGTGAGATTGTGGTGAAAACCCTGCGGGTCGTGGTAAGGAGGAACCGGCCGAGTGTTCGTGGTGGGTTTGAGTTCCGGGTCGATTCAGTCACCAGAACAGAAATTCAATCAGTGTCTGAATCCTGCTTGATTCTCAGACTGCCAGAACCCAAAATAGCACTTGGATTTACTGAGGGGTGTGCAGTGGGAAAATGCCTGGCTGAGTGTTGGAGCATGCACATTTTTAAACCTTGATTATCAGAATTGTCAGGGAGATTATGTGTATAAATAGATATCTTATAACCCTGTAAGCAAAGAGAATAATACTTCATTCTGGGTTATTTGGTCTGCATTTTCAGCTGGTTAACAATGCTTCACTGAATGACACTTTTTGGGGGTGATTTCTCACTTTCTTAAGCTTTTATTTAAATGTTTTCTTAAATTTTCTCAAGAGTTGTGGGAGATAAAACTGATCTAAACTCACGTGGAGCAGCTGTAGAACAGTGAAGTAAAACTCAACAGTGAAGTAAAACTCAACAGTGAAGTAAAACTCAACTGCAGGAAAAGTTGTAGAAGGCACAAATACTGTGGGTTTAGGCTGTTGTTTCAGCTGATATATTTAATTAAACAAAAGTGTTTCCATTTCCCACTTCTTTCCCCGTGATGATTTCAGCCAGAGGGCATCAAGAAAGAGCTTCATGCAGGTTTCACTTTGGATCCCCAGGGTGTTTATGGTGAGAATTGAGCGTGTTGTCCTTGCATTATTTTTTCCTCTCCTTGATTTGGGATGATTTTCCATAATGTGAAAAAACTGGAATTTCTCCTTCCTGACACACTCTACATATGTCCTTTCCCAAGGCTTTCCTGTCCTTTCATTGACTTCAAATCCACTTCAAATAGCAAATATGCTTGGATTAATTTCTTAAAGGAAGCTTTTTATGTATCTTTTAGTGTGATGTGACACCAGCTTTCCTCAGTGTGCTTGAGAACCAACCAGTAGGTGCCTTATTCATGAAAACAGAACATGTCCTCATTTAACCACGGCAACCACAGAGTTTAAGTCTTTGTCAGACTTTATCCTGTAACAAAAAAAGGGCAAAAGCAACATAAAGAGTTTGCACCTGCTCTTTTTTCAAAGAACTAATGTTGTTTGCACGTGCCTTTGGGAGTATTTGTAGTTTCCAAGTTCTCACAGGTATTTCTGTTGCTGGCCTTAAATCTGTTGCCACCTTAAATCTGGCTATTGCAGCTGAACTAAATCTGTTGATTTAGACTGTGCAGTGTGATATATATATACAATATATATCTATATACATTTTCAATGACAGGTTCAATCAAGAGACGACAGGAATTTCGATACAAAGTCCCCCCGAATCTGGTCCCTAAAACGGAGCTCGATAGAAGCGTCAGTGTGAAAGGTAAATTGAAACTTCCAGTGCACTGCAGACGTACTCTCCAACATCTGTTTCTCCTGGTTTGCATTAAATTTATCTAATTTGGGCCTGGGTTCTTTCTCCTGGGAGAACAGGCCGCCTTTCTGGGTAGGAATTGAAGTTCTGCACACGCAATGTTTGCTTGTGAGCGCTGCACAACTTGGCTTCTCTCTCCCGATCCCTGATGCCAACACATTTTGGGTTGGTTCTCCCCACAGGCCACCTGCTGGGTGAAGTGATTGCCACAGTGCTCAGTGCCAGCGGGCTCAGGATGCTGACTGAGCTGCCCAGGGGCAGTGCAGAGGCCGAATTCATGAGCTTTGCCCCCGTGTTTTACGTGTTTCGCTACCTGGAGGAGTCGGACAACTGGCATTTACTGGGCCCTGAAACCTTTATTGCCAGAACTCAGATGAGAAGGAAGATGAAAGAAGGTAGGGAAAAAAATCTGCCTCCCTCACTTCAGAGCTGGGGAGGTGCCCAAATGAGCCAGAAAGATGATGCATCTGAGGGAGCAAATGTCATTCTCATGGCCTGCTTTGTGCCCCATCCACCCCTCAGGGATCGTGAGCATCCTGTCCTTCCAGAACGCCGACCGCTCCTACAGCATGTGGAAGAACGGGCAAGCCAGCACCTGGTGAGTCACAAGGGTTTTTATGGTTGGAATTCATTCAAAAGGCTTTCATACTTCTGGTAAGCATGAGGGGTGAGTGTGATGGGAGATTTAATCAGACCTTTTGTTTCCTTCCCTTCACTCGCCAAATCTTTTGTTCTTGTCTGTGACTCACACCATGACAAGCCAGCTGGGGTTGGGATGGAATGAGTCCATCCCCTGACACCTGGGAATTGATCCCAGTTTCACAGGATTTCAGTAACTATTGCCCATTTGTGAAGCTGAATTTGAAATTCACCTTCACCGATCCTTTGAAGTGTGGGAGTGTGTGGGACCCCCAGGTGGTAACTAGTGCAGATTTGTGTCTGCCCCCAGCGCTGTGGGAGCACCTGCTGACCTAAACAAACGTGTTTGGTTTCCCTGGCAGGCTGACAGCTTTTGCTTTAAGGATTCTTGGACAAATGTATCAATATGTCAGACTTGACCAGCTTTCTCTCTGTGATTCCCTGCTGTGGCTGATTGATGACTGTCAAATGCCAGACGGGTCATTCAGTGAATTTTCCAGCTACGAACCAGTGAAACTCCGGGTAGGAAAACCCACACATTTTCTGTGCTCAACCAGTAAAAGCTGAAGTCACCAGGGGATAAAGAGTTTTAGCAATGCAAGAGATTTTAGGCTGCACTTCACCAAAACACCCATTCAAGACAGTTTTGGCTGATTTGCCTTTTCCTAAATTCATTTCAGAAGCACCACAGTCTTGCAAACCTTTCTGTCTTCCCACTTAAAGCAGCTGCTTGCCACTTCTTAATATTTAGAGAAGAGTTATATAGGATGATTTTACAACATAACAGTCCTGGCTTGTCAATAAATTTATATATTTTGGTCTCCTTTTTCTACAAATAAGCTGTTACCTTCCAATGTATTTTCAGATTAAACTAAACTGATACTTCCTGCAGGAATTTCTATTTGTTTCCTCACCTAAACTGAAAAGTTCTACTTATTTAACCATTTTCTATTTAATTCTCTTCATTTGATTCTTGTAGGGCATATTACCTAGAGAAACTAAAGAAAAATCTCTGTATCTCACGGCATTTTCTATCATTGGAATCGACAAGGCAATTAAAATATGTCCTACTGAGGTAAATAAGATCTTTATTTCTGCCAGTGGGTTCTAATTTCTTCCATTTTCTTTAACATTTGTTCAAAGAAATCAAGACTTTGTTCAGTTTCAAATAATCCTAATTTGTTGTGTTTGTCTTTCAAAAGCAGTGAAAGAACAACCAGGGTTTTCTGGGTCAGTTTTATCACAAGATACATTGCAGAAAACGTTACATATCTGTATTTTCTTGCTAGGGGAGATGCATTTCTTTAACTCTGACAGATGTGAGCCGTAAATTGTTCACATTTACAGAAAGTCCACAATGCCAAGAGCAAGGCAGGAGGGTATTTGATGGAGAATGTGCAGTTTGCTCAGAGCCCCTTCACCATGGCCATCGCTTCCTACGCCCTGGCTCTCGTGGACCCCGACAGCCACTCGGCACGGACGGCCTTCTCAGAGCTCAAGAGGGAAGCTTTTGTCATAGGTATTGTTCAGTCCTCTCAGTCTCTGCTGCTTTCTGCTCTCACACACCTGTCCTTTCAGTGGTTTTTAACTCTCTGGTGTGGTGGCACTGCTTGGACAGTGAGTTTTGGGGGTGCCTGCTTTGTTTGGCCGCTCCGTCGCTGCTCTCGGCCAGCAAATCCCATCAGCTGCTTTCCATCAGCTCTGTTTGTCAGCACTGCCCAGCCTAAACCTCAGACCCCCTGGGGCAAGGGAAGAGTTTCCTCATCTCCTGGGAGATGCAGAGTGAGCTCCTCCTTGTCCCCTTGTCCTGAGTGGGCAATACCCACCCTGTCTTTCCAACACTTGCCCTTTGAACATTTCCATTTTGAACATTTCCATTTGTAACATTTCCATTTTGAACATTTCCATTTTGGAACACTTCTGCATTTTGAACACTCTTCTCAGGGGTGTTTCCTACTGAGTCTAAAACTGTAATAAATCCTTCCACTTGCTAAGTGCAAGACTGGAAAAGAAACCGGTAAAAGCCTTCCCAGCCCTGTTTGGAACTGCTGGCTTTTTGTGCACGGATTAAATTTTCGATGTATTTCTGTGAGGGGCATTTTTAGTCATTTACACCTTGTGTATCCTGCAGAGCTGTTGCTGTGTTTCACTCTGGAACCTTCCTTTTCTCCTTGTGCAGGTGACCCTCCCATCTACAGGTTTTGGAAAGACGCTTTCAAGGCAGAAGATGAACAAACTCCCAGCTCTTTCACTGCCCAGATGGTTGAAACCACAGCCTATGCTCTGCTCACCACTCTGCTGAGAGGGGATGAAAGCTATGCCAAGCCAATCATCAGATGGCTCTCTGAGGAACAAAGACATGGGGGAGGGTTTTATTCAACTCAGGTGAGCTTTGAAAGATTTCCTCCTTATTCTTCAAGTGCCAAAATCTGAAATGTTTTGCCCCATCCCTGGAAGTGCCCAAGGCCGGGTTGGATGGGGCTCTGAGCACCCTGGGCTGGTGGAAGGTGTCCCAGTTGCAACAAGATAAGCTTTAAGGTCCCTTCCAACTTAAACCACTCTGGCATTCCATCATTTTGTGATATAAAAATATTTTTAAAGGATAATGTAATTAAATGATCACAGAGACAACTCCAGTGTCCTTTGTATCAGGTGACTCCATGGCCAAGATATTCTTTGGCCCTGGCAAACAGGACTTCTTGGCATGGGGTTGTTGCAATTAGAAATTTTATAAACAGAATTTAATTCATACCTATTTTATAAATAGAATTTATTAGAGTTAATTCTTTATAACTGATTCCTGACAGGACACAATCAATGCCCTTGAGGCCCTGACCGAATATTCCCTCCTTGTCAAACGGCTCCACTTGGACATGGATGTGAAAGTGTCCTACAAAAACGGTGGAGTCCTGAGCATCTTCAAACTGACAGAAGATCATTTCGTGGGAAGAGCTACATCAGTGAGTGAATAATATTGCTTTTAAAGGCAGAGCACAGTTCTCAGCAATCTGTTAAATAATTATTTGAAATTGCTCCTGAAGTAGCTTTTTCTTATAACAAACTGGCATTAATTTGGTATAGGAAGCATTTAAGGACTTGTTTATCTGCTATATTTAATATCCTTTTTAAAATTAACATCTCTGCCTGCTCCTAGAAAGTATTTTTGGACAGATTATGTTTGTAGCATCAGACCTTATTATGTGTTTGAAGTGCAAACAAGACAAGCAGCTCACCTGACCTGAACTGTCACTGATTGTTGCCAATCTGAATTATTATTGTTACTAATCTGAACTTGTAACTCATTATTGCTCCTCAATCCTTTAGGCACCTTTGCATGATGACATCTATGTGAGCACTGGCAGCAGCACTGGCATAGCTACAGTAAATGTAAGCAGGTTTTTCAGTGGAATTTCTGCTTCAGTCACATTAACAAGGAAAAAGAAACTGAAAATTCCCCTAAAGTGTCCCCACTGGTGCCCTGAAGGGATGGATGTTTTTATAGCTCTGGGTTGGATTAACTCCCAGCCAGTGTGTGACTTGTGGCTACTGGCAGAGAAGTTGGGAAGTTTCTTCCTTTCCACTGCAGGTTTTCTGTTCCATAAATCTTTTATGAATCCTTAAGGTTGGAAAAAAAAAAAAACCTTTAAGACCACCAAGTCCACACTAAATAGATGATCAACTTCATTTTAGTGCTCATCAATTTTACTGTCTCTGCTTAATCAGCCAAACAGGGAAGACCCAAATCAAGTGATCAGTGTTGAGAAATAATTCTCTGTTAAGCAATGGAAACGTTGTTTTATTGCAATATTTACAGGGATGGTTTCTTGTACCTGTGCAGGTGAGGACAGTGTACAACACAATGGGCACTTCTGAAGACCACTGTAACTTTGACCTGAAGATTGCTCCAAAGACAGATCATGGTAAAGGCTTAATATAATTTTAAATATCACCACCCAGGTCAGTGCAAGGGAGGGATAAAATCCTTGCTTTTTTTTTTTTTTAAGCAGCGTTTCTTATTAAGAATGACATAAATTCTGCCACTTTCTACCTGCAAAACTGGAGAAGAAATTGCTAAAAGCCTTTTTAGCCCTGTTTGAAACTATTACCTTTGTGTGAATAGAATTAATATTTAATGTCTCTCTGTCAGGTGCATTTTTAGTCACTTATTGGAAGAGTTTTAGTCATTTATTGGAAGAATTTTAGTCATTTATTGGAAGAGTTTTAGTCATTTATTGGAAGGGGGGGAGTGAGAAGACAGAAATGGGATGGGAGTGGAAGGGGCTGACACAGAGTTCTAGTCCAGTTAGATCAGGGTGTAGAACCACACTGAGCTTTTGCCACCAAGTATTTTCAATAACATAAATGCACAACAAACCACATTAAGCCTTAAAAGTGTGATTTCACCTGAATGGCAAAAGCAGTCAATGTTACTCATTTGTGCCTAGACAAGGAGCTCCTTTAAAAACAGCCCCCAAAACAACTTCAGGGATTATCTGTCAGTTATGAACATGGTTTGTGGAAATTTTGGGCTGCTGAGGAGCTGTAAAATGACTGATTTGACTCTGCTTGGTGTGAACAGGTCACCAAAGAAGAGAAGAGGAGCCACAGTGGTACCTGGAGGCTTGTGCAAAGTGAGTGCAGCTCACGGCTTGGTTTGTCAATAATTGCACCTGCTCCTCTGAGCTTTTCTTTCTGTTTCTCCCCTTTGTTACTGTGTGTGTGTAAAGAGAATTAGAGCCAGAGGTTGGGATTTCCTTGGGATCTCTGCCTTCAGTTTGCATGGGGGCTCTCCTGGAACGTGAGGATGAGGAAAAGCTGCTCGGTGGCATAAATCTGAAATGCTTCCTCAGGAGCTTGCTGTGCTCTAAATGTTGACAGAACTTTCCTTAGGTTTTCCTGGGATCACCTTCAAGTGTTTTTAACTTCAGTCGTGGTTAACTAATTCTGTGTTTAAACTATTTCTATTTTTAATCTGCTTTAGGTACAGGCCCAGTGCGAGGGAGCCCCGTTCGGGGTCTGCTCACACCGTGATGGACATCGGGCTGGTCAGTGGAGTGGAAGCAAATCCAGAGGATTTATCTACTGCAAGTATCAGAGAACTTTTTGCCTCTTCCTGACTCTCCGTGGCAGAGCTCTGACATCCACTGTTCATCTTTTCCTGTCCCCTCCAGCTCGCAAGTGGCATTGACCAGCTGATAGCAGATTATGAGATAAAGGACGGGCACGTTATCCTGCAGATTGACTCTGTATGTCACCCCGTGCCCGACTGAGCCCTGCTCTTGCTCTCTGCAATGCTTTTGGTGCCTTTAGAGCTGCCTAATTGCTGTGCCTGCCACACAGGTGCCAGCTGACAGGTTCCTGTGCGTGGGGTTCCGGATCAGCGAGCTGTTCCGGGTGGGAATGCGGAACCCTGCCACCTTCACCGTGTACGAGTACCACGCACCAGGTCTGTGTTCCCTGCCCTCACCCCCCTCTTTGCCCTCTCACTCTCCATTCCTCCTGGAAGGCAAGGTTTTCCCTTCTTTCCCAGCTGTCTAGCCCGTGTTATTTTCAGCTCAGTCAACTCTGGACTCGAAGTTCCAGTGTTGGTTTTCTGTGTGTGTTCATTATTCCTTCTAGAGAAAAGGTGCACTGTGTTTTACAACCCCTATGGAGATGAAAAGCTGGTGAGATTGTGTGAAGGAGATGAATGCAAATGCATGGAAGGTAAACTTGTTTTAAGATGTTTCTCCATGTCAGTTGGTGGGAAAATGTAAGGAACAAAACCACACTAAACATCAGGGGGAAATCTTCATAAGAGCACAGCTGGTTCCTCTCCAAATTGTACCCTGAAAAGTAATTTAAAAAAAACTCCAAGTGTGCAGTGTAATCATGGAAGTCTGAGTGGACTGAGTCAGGTGATTGAGGGTGTTGGTTTGTATTTTAAATATTCCCAGTTCCAGCATGCAATCCCATATTCTGGTGTTGCCAGCTAGAACAATTATCCCAATTGCAGGTGGAGGCCCATGATGTTTTATTCACTTATTTACCATGATGTATTTATTGTGAGGACATTCTCTTAACACTGACTTCTCCTTTCTCAACGTAGCTGAGTGTGGTAAAGTCCAAAAGAGACTTGATGAGTCCATAACTGCTGAGAGCAGGACAGAAGCTGCCTGTCAGAGGGACATTGCATATGGTAACACCTGGCACGAGCCATTCACCTGCTCTGAAACATCTGCTTGCCTACCAGGCTGCAAAACACTCTGATCCTGAGTGATTAAAAACTCACTGGGGTTGACAGTGCCATGGGGTGAGGGCAGGTGACAAACTGGAGCAGAGAAGGGCAAGTGCTGCCCGTTCTCTGCTGAATAAAAATCACATCGGTGGGGTCGGGGCACCAGGGAGCCTGATCTGATGAGTTCTGCTAATAAACACTGGGTTCTGCTAATAAACACTGGGTTCTGCTAATAAACACTGGGTTCTGCTAATTAACACTCAGTTCTGCTAATAAACACTGGGTTCTGCTAATAAACCCTGGGTTCTGCTAATAAACACTGGGTTCTCCTAATAAACACTGGGTTCTGCTAAGAAACATTGACTTCTGCTACCAAACACTCAGTTTTCTCTTGCTTGGTACCATCTGTGTGGCTTTGGGCTCAGAGGAATTTGGGGTAGCAGATGAGAGCACGGGTGGAGCTCCCATCAGATCAGACACGGGTGGAACTTGTCGGTGTTCCTGGAACAATTCACAGCTACCCTGCATTCCCAGGGATCAGTGGTGCAGAGGGACATCAAATCCCCCTGAGCAGCTGCTCAGGATGGGGGTGGCAGGGACAAGCAGTAACCAAAAGCTTTGTGTCGCTCTGCAGTTTACAAAGTGAAGGTCCTGTCCCGCAGCGAGGAAGGGGCTTTTGTCAAATATTCTGCAGCTCTTCTGGATCTCTTCAAAAGAGGTGAGTCCTGCTCCACGTCCCTGTTGGTGGGAGAAAAGGGTGTTGGAATTTAGGCACTCCCTGTGGCCAAGGCAGATGTTGCAGGTCCTGCAGAGCTCAGGATGATATTCCCTCATTTTCCCTCTGGGTTTAGGCAGCCAACGTGTCCTTAAAATGACTGTAATATAAAAATATTTAATTTAATGCACAAGGTTTATTTGCCAGTCAGATTTAATGGTAAAAATCTTTCCCAAGAAACACGTTTTACTGCCATCAAATTTTGCTGTTCCAGAACTGGTGGCACAGAGATCCCCTGGCTGTGCTGGACTGCAGAACAATTTAATGTTTTCTGCCTGAGTGACTGGAAATTCCCTCTGTGCAATTGTCCAGCTCTTCTCATTCTACCTCAGGGCAGGCTTTTGCTCAAAAAAATGACGAAGTAACCTTTGTTAAGAAGAAGACCTGTGCAGATGTGGAACTGAGCCCAGGAGAGCAGTACCTGATCATGGGCAAAGAAGCCTTAAAGATCAGCATTGGTTACAGTTTCAAGTGAGTCATTTGCTACCAGAATATGCAGAGATTTAACCCTGCAGTGGGAAGGGTTTGCATGGAATAATTGTTGGGTAATACAGAATTGATTTTCTTCCCCCAGCAGTTACACAGTGGGTTGGACACGATTTCACATGGGGATTTTTATTTTATCCTTGACATTTTCCTGCCCAAATCTTAGCAGCAAATGATCCTTTCCTGTTGTTTTCCCAGATTCCAGTACCCTTTGGACTCCAGCACTTGGATTGAGTGGTGGCCTTCAACTCCAGCCTGTGACTTGTGTGGGGAGTTCCTAAAGACAATGGAAGATTTTGCTGATGATCTCATGATCAGTGGCTGCTGATTTACTTGGAGAGCTTTTAAATTAAAAATCCAGATCAAATCTCATGCAAAAAAAAAAAAACCAAACCAAAAACAACCCTCACCTGTTTAGCAATTCTTCCTTGAACTGAAATTCCTGAATAGTTCCCTTGAAAAATGAGCTTTGCTTGTGTTTTATAGCAATGTTGTTACGTTGTGATGCTCAGATAGGATTTTTCAGCTTGGCTGGGAGAAGAACATGGAATGCTGCAAAGAAACCTGGAGTCAGATGGAGTGGATGAACTGTAAAAACACACATGGAAAGTGCTGGCTTGTCCCTGAATCCCAGGTCTCATTAAAACACAAATATTTGCAGCCATTTTGTAAACTCTTCGTGAAAGAAATTACTTTATTCCTTATTTTTTCCTTTTGTGCTCTGTTTGAATTCCTGCATTTCCATCCCCAATGTTATTTTTGTGCTCTGCTTTCTTGTTTAAAAAAAAAAACCAACAAACAAACAAAGCCAAAGTTCTCAGCTCTCAGGTGTACATTCATTATTTGTATTTTCAGGCAGTAACTCAGATCCATAAACCAAATGTTCCCCTGGCATTTGATGGCTGGCTTTGACAGGTTAAAAACCCTGCTCTGCCTGCAGGAAAGTGGCAGATGAAGGGCCAAATTCCCTGCTCCTGGCACAGCCCAGGCTGGCTCCCAGCAAATCTGAGGAGGGAGGTTCATCCAAAGCACAGTCGTTATTTTTTTACTGAAGAGCTGCCCAAAGAACTTTCAAATTCCTGTTTTCCCTCTCTCTTAGGAATGCCCTTGATCCAGAGCACTTAAGATGTGGAAAGAAGATAATCAGGGATGATGCAATGTTAAATTTTGGCTCTGTGAGTACTTCACTTTTTTTTTTTTAAATCCTACAAACCTTTCTAAGAAGCACAAAAAGATCCCCCTGTATCCAATAATTACTGGATATAAATTCAAATTGCAGGGAGAAGCACATGGAAAGGCTCAGGGAGGTTGTCCAGGCAGCTGACCAGGAAACATTTTTACTTCTGAAGGGGTAACTGTGTATTAGCAGACCTAATTCTCTCAAATGACAGGGAGCCTGCCCTGTTTTCACAGGTGACATTTAAGTTCTGTTGGCTACAAAGAGGCTGCATTGCTCCTGAACACCAGGAACCTCATTTAAAAATAACACATAAAAAATGCTGCATTAAGTATCAAATTGCTGCCCCTAATTTTAAAAATTTTAAAAATTCTCTAATCTCATCTGCTGGGTCTCTGTTTTTATCCAGGTTAACAATACCATTGGGATCAGTAAATACCTGTATTTTATAAGGACATTTTAACAGATTTTTAGCCACGTGGGAGGTGGCAATGGAGGAAGATTTGCCTTCCTTGTGTGCCACAGTGTGACTTTCACAGGAAAACCACTTAGGGAAAGGTGGATCTGTGAGTTCAGCTGATTTCACATGCAAATTATGTTGGCAGATTTCCAGGAGGGTCTAATTAACAGGACAAGAGAAGCTGGAAATGGATTTTAGAATCCCCTGCCATGGCTTTAGTGACCCTTGGTGGGAGAGTCCCAGGATTAATCCCAGCAAACCTGGGAATTCCTGGGATAATCCCTGCTGAGGGGACTCATGGAGAGATGGAGGTTGTTTCAGGACACACTCTGTCCTTCCACGTGGTTTCTGTTCCTGGGGTGGGGGGTTTATACATCCCATGTGCAACTCTCCAAACCTTCCAGGCTTTGAACCAGCAGCCAGGAGCTTTAGTTATTCCAGAGAAACAGGAATTCCAGGGCTGCATTCCTGCAGTGTTCCCAACCTCCCTGGCTGAGGGGACTGCTCTGTCCTGCAGCCCAAATTAATCCCCCCCAGCTCCTGGAGCACACAAGGCTGGCCTGGCCTGCACAGGGAATTTCTGAGAGCAGCACCCACCAAAGCCAATTAAATAAGTTTGGCCATTAGACTTCTATTCCTTTTTCATGGATTTCCTTTTGAATGAGAACAAAACCTCACCAGATGCCACTCCAGTGGGATTCTCCCTGAATGCTCCTGGCAGATGCAGGAGACCCAAACTGGTTGAATTCCTGACATTCTAACAATTCTAAGGGTTAATTCTATGTGTGAGCCTTTAGCTCTTTTAAAAATCGATATTTTTACCCATTTCCATTTGTATTTTACTGGCTTTTAGACAGCAAAGTGTCACAGAACGAGTTGGTTTCACTTGATCCGAGCTGGGAAGGGGCTTGAATAGCCCAAATTGCAGCCTCTGGTGCCCAGTGACACGTGAAGCTCACACTTTGAGCTGAAAGCTGCTGGGCTCTGCTTAACTGCTGGGATTAATTTGGGAAGGGAGCCAGAGAGTGCTTTTCTCTGGCCATTGTCCCACTGGCAGGACAGAAATGATTTTGTGGCTCTCATCATCTTCCAGGAGATCACCCCCAGCCCTCAGCAGCCCTCACCCACAGGAGTGCAGTGTCACAAATGCTCTGGAGTCAGGAATGCCCTGCAAGTTTATCAGAGGAATCCTAAATCCCTGCAGCAGGTTAATGGTGTGACAGCAGTGACTGTCACAGTTTTATTGGCTGGCCTGAAAACCTGCATTAAACACTGTGGGAAGGAGGAAAATGCTCAGGTGAGGCAGGAGGGTGCAAATCCAAATTACCACAAAATCTTCACGTTGTTGTGATGCTGCCCTTCCACCTGAGACCCTCCAGGAGAGCAGAATTGTTCACTTCACCCCACTGGGTGTGCTCAGTGCCTGGGGGCAGTGCAAAGCCAGAATATCCCCCCAGAATGACTTTCTAACCAGCAGTGAGGATGTTCAGTGTCAGAGCTCTCAGTCAGCAAGTGGGATCCTGCCTGGGGCAGAGAGCACAAAATCCTCAGACTGACTCCTTGCTATCATTGCTTTCCAGTTCAAAACTCCTCTCTTTTGAAATAAAAACCCTCCACCACCCATTTCCACAAACCGAGAGCTGTGGGATCTGCTGACAGGCTCTGCAGATCCATTTACAGCAGGGGGGGTGGAGAACACGAGGAAACACACAGGAAGGAAATCCAGTTTTGGTTTCCCTTTGGAGTGAGTATTACTTTGTAATTAAAAATAATCCCTCTCTGAGAGCTGCCACTTTCCATCCATCCCCATTTGTCTGCCTTGACCCCACAGGGGTTTCTGTTCAGCCTGTGGAAATGTTCCTGCTGGGGATGTCTCCCAGCAAAATGTGTTCCCAATCTCCTGCTGAATTCCTACAGCAGAACCCCCGGAGTTCTGGCAGGGCCCGCAGTTGTTTTCCAGTAAAACACCCACCTTAGAGCAGTTCCATGTGCTTCCAATTTTTGGAGATATTTAATAATGTTTTCATCTCTAATTAGAAGAAATCTCTGGCTTTGGCCCTGTGGCTCTCCTGGGAACCGAGGGTTTGGATTTGCCAGTTCCTGCATCGGGACAGAATTCCAGCCCTTTGCTTTTCAAGCCCTGAATGAACTCGGAATTTGGGCACATGTTGAAGCAGCAACTGATTTCCTGGAAAATACTGAGCTGAATTAAACACCACAACTGTCAGAAAAAGAACACTTAAGTTCAGAAAACAATAGCAGAGAAATCCTGAGTAAAGCTTGGTGCACTGAACCCTTTCTTTCCTATCCCAGGAAATTGTTGTTGCACACAGGGGGTCGTTTAGAAAATGCATTTCCCCACACTCAGAGCTGGAAGTCACGAAATGCAGATTATCCCTGAGGTGCTGTGGTTCAGGCCACAGTTCCTTTGTTTATTTGCTGCTTGACAACCAAAACTGCGACTTCTTTTGCGAGTGAAGTAAACAAAAAAAAGCTGTATTTGAATCAGCTGAGCTATCAGATTCCCCTTGCACTGGGCCAGTTTGTACCTGCTGAAAGGTGATTTACAGTTTAGAAACAGAAATTCTGCTGTTGGGGCCAGACTGGGCATAAATGGGATTTAAGTTGTTCACTCACTCCATGGCTGAGTTCTCTGTCTCTGCCAGGTTTCCTTCCTTATTTATAAAAGCAAAATGCCATAAAAAAAAGTCATTTTCACTGTCTAAATCATAAAATTTTCCATGAAACCCTTCTGCTGGAAGGTCCTAGAGAATATCCATGCCCAGGCTCTTGGTACAAATACATCTTCATTTGTGTCATTCCAAAAGTTTGGAGTCACCAATCTTTATTTTATTTCCTAAGCTTCTGTTTTGGTCAGGGATCTCAAACCCAAGATAGGATCCAAAGCCTCCTATGGGACCTGCAGTGTCCCCTGGGTGCAGGTACAAACAGACCTTGCAAGTTGGGGGGGTGGAAATCATTCAGGAAAATGAATCATGCTGGAAAATGCTCTTGGAAAGCTGAGCCTGGTGCTGTTACTCATCCCCCAACAGCCAAGTGAATTGTGGTCTCAGGGAGATGGAATCCAGTGCACAGTCTCCTCCTGCTTCTGTCATGTGCAAAACAACACCCAGACATCTCTTTTTTTATCTCTATTATTAGCAAAATCAGCAAATTCTGGAATGGGTTAATGGAGATTTACCAGGACCTTCCCTCTCCCCTCAATTCTTGTCATTAGTGAGAATTAATGAAGGCATTAATAAAGAGACCTGATACTTCATTTTCTCACTAATTAATCCCAGCCAATCCCACCGAGTTTTCTGATCACTCTTTCTTCCCCCACTGTGCAGGTGGCCTGAGCTGCCAATGGAATATCCACATTTTTTTTCCCAGCTGCTTTAGCCTCAAAAAGACACTGGATCTGAGCTTGTTTTTTCATGTCACATCCAGGGCTCTGGAGGAGAGTTTTGGCAGCTTCCCCCTGGGCACTGAGCCCGTTCCCAGAGTTCATTAAGAATGGAAATAAGCAGCAAAGAATTTTCCAGTTCAGCTCAGGCCCTGGGCACGTTCAGAGCAACAGAAACACGACCACGAGTGGGGCACCAGCCCTTGGTGTGGCCAGAGCCTCAACTGGGCAAACTGGCACCAACTGGGCCATGCTGGGCTCACCCCCCTGCTGTGGGGGGGAGTGACTGAGACAGGAGACCACCAGGAAGCTTCTTAGTGTGAAGAAGGAGTGCCTGGCTGCCCAAAAATCAGAGGCAGGCTCAGAAACCTCCTCGTGATTTCCTCTGAAATCCTTTCTGCTCGTAGGAAACCACTGTGACACACAGAAACACTCTCATTTTCTCTCTCCCCTTCAAGGGGGATTCCTTGGCTTGGCTTGTGGAAACTGCTTTAGTGAGGGACTGAAATGAGAGATTAGATGGGTAGATAGATAGATAGATAGATAGATAGATAGATAGATAGATAGATAGACAGACAGACAGACTGTCCATTTTTGGGTGCTTTTTCCCTGACAAATGCTGCAGAAGTGCTCCAGAGCATCTATTCTTTAGGGAGGAAAACAAAAAAAATCCCTAGGAAGCTGAGGATAATATTATCTTACAGAGAATATGATCTGGAAAAAATCCTGAGGCAGAGCAGGGCTGAGGAAAACCAAATTGATTCCTGATGTCTCTTGGAGGATTTGGGTCCAACTCTTCTGAAACTTAGTGGGAAACTTTCCTTCTCTTTAGTGGGAGCTGCTCCTCAGGGAATCCCCATAACAAATTAGTTACAACTGGGGGTAGACACAGGCAGAGAGGACTAAAACATGTAAAAAAGGTACAGAACTACTTAATAGCAGAGCTGTGAACAGGCAGGAATCTTGCCTTGGAGCACTCAGCTCCAGTTCTGGGACTGGAGCTGCTTGGAAAGTGAGTTTTCCTTCCTGTGCTTTACCAGTTTTTCAGGGTTTCCCAGGACAGGTGCACATTCCCAGGTCATTTATACTAACTGAAAATTAAGTTTTCATAGAATGAGACAGCTCTACTCAAGCATCTCTCTGGAATGCAACTATCAGCCCTGAAAATACTATTTACACTTGGATTACCACCTTTGTAACACGGAGCATCTGAGCCTAAATTCCTTTGGAAATGCTCTGTGAAATCTGCCACATTAAAAATCTCGAGCCCTTTGCTTCCTTTTAAAAGGTAATAATAAATAGATTGATACATTCCCTTATGAGCTTTTTTTTCCTTGGATATAGAAATGATCCTTCACCTGAAATAGTAACCCAGGGCCCTGCAATGCTGAGCACTGGGGAAATGGCTCTACATTTTAGTCTCTCTCAGAGCCACATCCTGTTTTCAGTTAACTGATCTCATCAAGGGGAAATCTAACAGAGGAAACCTCTCTAGCCTGGAAAGTACCAAACCTTATCTTGGGTTCCTGTGTGTAATTCAGCACCTCTGAAGGCAGAGCTGTCACAGCATCACAGAGACTGCTGAGAAGTCTCAGAGCGAGAGAAAAGGAGCGAACTGAGAGCCCAGGGAGCTGCCCCTTCATCCCCAAACAGAACCTGATCTTTCTAAAATTAACACCTCCCACCCCTTTATAGCCCCAAGGCTGAAAAAGCCACATCCAGAAATCTTTGAAGAACCCTGTCAGAAGATAACTCACTCACATCCTGGCAGAAACTGCCTGGCCCACGTGAACTTGCCAGGAATTTTAACCACCCTGATGAAAGCAAACGGTTCAGGCCCTGGGGACTGACTGAGCCAGCTGTGTCACACTTTTCTTCCAGACTGCAGGTGACACAGGGCCCTGGGGACTGCACTGCAGATCTACCTCTGGATCTACATCAGACCACCACCTACAGATAAGTGCACAGCCCAGAGAAGCAGAGAGAGGGAGGTGGAAATGAAGAGTCTATCTGAGCACACACAGCACAGGAAGGTGTCAGACTTCAAGCAAACACTCACTGATGTCCAACAGCCTCTCACAGAGCCACAGGTACCTGGAGGTGCTCTCTGCTGTCATTGCAGCCGAGTGAAGGCCCTAGAGAGCCACCTCTGCTTTGGATTTTTAATTTTCAGCAAGAACCCACCCTCAGGGATATTCCCCAAGTCTCCTTCACAAGGAAAAGCGAACAGATTTGCATCTGCCACCGCTTTTCTGACTGATTCCTCAGTCACAACTTAGACAAGGTGACAGCAAAGTGAGATTTCTCAGGGGAGAGGAGCACCTTCTGCTGAGAGTGAAACCTTCCTTTGTAGAATCTTTACTGCACTCTTAGAAGGATTTGCATCTCTTACTGAACTCCCCGGAGTTATCCCGTCACTCACAGCCCTGCATGAGTTACACACGATCTGCATTGAGGGGGGAGGCACAGCGGGGTTGCAGGGGGAGGTTTCCCGTAGGTCCCAAAGGGTCCCGTATTTGGGGCAGGGGGGGCTGTGCGGGGATATTTTGGGCTGTGACCACACTCTGGGCAGGCAGGACTTTCTGCCCGGGTCACCATGTCACACAGCACATCACCCCGCTCTCAGGAACCAGCCGCCAGCTTCTCCCTTTCGGCTGCGCCGGGGGAATTTACTCCTCGGGGCATTTCCTCGGCCACTTCCCCGTCCCCGCGGGCCGGGGCTGCGGCGGTGCCCGGAGCGGGGGAAGCCCCGCGGGCGCGGTTCGTGCTCCCCGCTCCTCCCGGCCGGGGCGAGGCAGCAGCGCCCGGATCAGAGCGAGCCGTGCCCGGGGGGAGCGCCGGGCCCAGGTACGGGGAGCGCCGGGGAGCGGGGCAGGGATGCGGGGCGGAGGGAGGGAGGGATGCGGGGCGGAGGGAGGGAAGGACGGAGGGATGAAGGGATGGAACCCACAACCCCCCTCCTCCCGCCGCGGGGATCCGCCCGCTCCCCCCCGGCCACACGGAGCGCCCCGGGGGCTGCCCGGGGGTCCTGCTGAGCTGGGATGGGGCCCCAGGGACCCCCCGAGCCGGGGCTGCGCCTTCCCCATGCCCGGGCTGGCTCTGAACGGGAACGCGGCCGCCAGCGGGGCAGGCTCGTGTGCCCCGGCCGGGGCTCCCAGCCCTGCTCCGCACCCCAAACCCAGCCCGGCCCCGCCGCGGCCCCACCGGGGCTCTGGGCCGGCTCTCAGGGCTGATGTGCCGGCTTGCAGGGCTCTGTGCCGGCTCTCAGGGCTCTGTGCCGGCTTTCAGGGCTCTGTGCCGGCTCTCAGGGCTCTGTGCCGGCTCTCAGGGCTCTTTGCCGGCTTTCAGGGCCGGCCCCGGCGGGTTCTGCAGCTCCGGCGTTCGCTGCAGAGCTCCCCCACCCCAAACCCCTGCAGAGGCCGTGGGGATGGGCTAAGCCAGGCCTTGGGAAACGCTGGTTGTTGTTCCCAAAGTGCTCAGCCCACAGGCCTGGCCGGCCCCAGGCAGCCTCGAGTCTTTTTTTTTGTTTTTTTTCAGGTTTATTAGTCAGTGTGGCTTCTGGTGATGCTGAGATAGGTTTTGGTATGGCACAGGAAAAAGATAGCTTTGTCAAGGCATTGTTACGATCAAACTGCACCGTGTCCCTGAGCAAAAACCTTCCTTGAACTTTCCAAGAGACACCAGAATCCGTTTTGGCTGCATTTCCAAAAATACCCCCCTGCCCAGCTCTTGTTACCCAAACCAAACTGGAGGTGCAGGACACCCTGGCTCCAGGTGTACCTGGGGAGAGCTCAAGTGTTAAGGATTTCTGGACTTGAGATTTCCTTTGTCATTTCACCAGTAGTTTTACAACTTCAGGAGAATCACTGTCAGTTGCTCAGTTTCTGTATCAGTGAAGGGAAATCACAAATTTTGGCTGCTGGGAAGTGAATGTGATTGGGGATTTACTCTACACGAAACAACTCGCTGCGATGGGGACCGGTGGGATTATGGCTCATCTTCCTACAAGCTAAAAACCTCTGGAAAGAAAACCGCCCAACCCCTCATTTTAATGCACTGCCCATTGTCACGCCGTGCTTGAGGGAAATTTTAGATCTGGGCAGTAATTTCCCGCTGGTACCAGCTCAAACCCCACTGTGACATTTAGTCAGAGCCAGTCACACACATCACTGTCACCGCTCTGGGCTGGAGCTGCTCGGGGACTTTGATGCCTGATACATCCTCTCACATCAAAGTGAGGATGTGTCTTGTCTGAGCACCTGCTTTTTTAACTGGCACTATTCCCCCAGCCCAGATGGCTGAGCACACCAGCAGGGGCCTGCAGGACCTGCCGGGCTCTTCTCCCGATGAAAACGAGTTTCCTGTTGGATACCCCACCAGCATCTGCCAGGATGTGCCTGGGCAGAAGTACCTGTGCAGCAACTGCAACAACATCCTGAAGAAGGCCCTGCAGACGCTGTGTGGGCACAGGTACTGCTCTGCCTGCCTCGCCTGGATCCTGCGGTACGTCCCTGGGCACGGCATTCCATGGATCCCAGAGCTCCCAGAGCTGCCACTGAGCTCAGGATGAGGCTGCAAGAGCTCCCAGAGCTGGCACTGAGCTCAGGGATGAGGCTGGGGCTCCAGGATCTCCCAGAGCTGGCACTGAGCTCAGGGATGAGGCTGGGGCTCCCAGAGCTGCCACTGAGCTCAGGATGAGCTCCAAGAGCTCCCAGAGCTGGCACTGAGCTCAGGGATGAGGATGGGGCTCCAAGAGCTCCCAGAGCTGGCACTGAGCTCAGGGATGAGGATCCAGGATCTCCCAGAGCTGGCACTGAGCTCAGGGATGAGGCTGGGGCTCCAAGAGCTGGCACTGAGCTCAGGGATGAGGATGGGGCTCCAGGATCTCCCAGAGCTGGCACTGAGCTCAGGGATGAGGCTGGGGCTCCAAGAGCTCCCCAGAGCTGGCACTGAGCTCAGGATGAACTCCAAGAGCTCCCCAGAGCTGTCACTGAGCTCAGGATGAACTCCAAGAGCTCCCCAGAACTGTCACTGAGCTCAGGGATGAGCTCCAGGATCTCCCAGACCTGGCACTGAGCTCAGGGATGAGGCTGGGGCTCCAGGATCTCCCAGAGCTGGCACTGAGCTCAGGGATGAGGCTGTGCCTCCCTGGCCCACAGTTATTTTACAATCTGGGAGAACTTTCCTTGCTGGATGCAGGATCCCCCCTGTCTCCTTCTTGTTCCCACCATGGAATGGGCAGGGTGGGTGCCAGGCCTGGTAGATGCCAGTTTTTCTATCTGTGACATAACAATTCTTGATTAACTGATTTAACCTCGATTTAATCCTTCCATGGGGCTTCTCAGTCCTTTGATAAGAGATGTTCAGGATTTTCACAGAATGTCTTATTGGTCTTTGTATTTGTCTTGGAAATGTCTGTGTTTTAAAGGACTTCAGTTTTTGTGTCACCTCCCCTACATGGGGTTCTTGCATAATTCATGAGACAAATAGTTTTCGATCTTTATTCTTGTTTATGATCCAGAGTGCTCTTCTTTCACTGGCACAGAGATAAATTTATGGGCCTAGTCCTGGTCTGGAAGAACAGAGAGCAGAGGTTTTTTATGTCAGGGGTTCAAGAATTGGCCCCCTCCTGAACTGTGGATTCTGAGTGGAAATTACAATTTCCATGGGTTTATTTGTGTCAGTGCCTCTACAAAGACCTCCCAAACTACAATGGTTTGCATTTCATTCTTGTTCCTTTTCACCAGAAACAGTAAAAATGCAATTTGCCAGAAATGTAAGGAGGAAGATCCCAACACTCTGAGTGAGGAAAGCCTGCTGGCAGAAGAAAGGGTGAGTTGTCATTAATTTATCATTAATTTATCATTATTTGGGCTGCCCTGGAGTCCTCACTGGACTGCAGTTGAGGAGGGGATAACATAAAATGTGATGGCAGCTCAGAGTTACACATTTTAACTTAGGCTTTAATCCTTTGGATTTCCCACCCTTTGTGATTCAGAAAAGTAAGAGCAGCCTCAGGACTTTCCCAGTCCTTGTTCTGCACTGTAAAATCCCACGCTCTGCCACAGAATTAACATTTTATTGCCTCACAGTAACTGGTGCTTTCCTACTCCTAATAAGATGTCTGAGCTGTTACTTATTATCCTTAGGAAGCATTTTCATGGATTTTCCAACCTCATGGCTTCTTGTGCCCTTCAAACATGGAGCTGAACGTAGGGATTGATAAAATCCATGTCCTGGAAAATGTTTTATCTGTAATTTACTGGCACAGATCTCTTGGTGGGGGGTTCTTCTTCAGGTAAATTGCTGTGCTTTTCCACATCCCAAACACAGCCTGGGTCACAGGGCCCAGCCCCAGCTTGCCTTCTCCCCTCCTTTCCCATTAAATTCAGGAATATCAACAGACTGCATTTGTCAGGGGAAAATGAAACCAGATAGGCAGTAAATAAAAGACAAAGCTTAGGAAGTGGCTGCAGCAAAATAACGAATCTGCTGTTGGTGCTGAGCTTGGTGACACCTCAGAAAAATCCCTCAAACTGTATTGAAATATGGGCGTGATTTGGAAATCCTTCCCTCCCTGTGTTTGTAAACTTTCTTCCTCCCGGCTCCAGCCCCGTGTGTTCCATGGGATATTCGCCCTCCTCTGGGCTGGAATTGCCTCCAGAGCACCCAAAAAAACCTCGTTCCTGTGTCAGGGCACCTCTTTTAATCGCTCGGGATGTACCACTAACAGTGACACATTTCCTGATTCACGGAACGAGCGCGCAGCTTCTCAGGGGTGACAAAACACCAAAATCTACACAGTGCAAAAAATAAACACCCCCTCCCCACCCCAAACCACCCCCACGGGGGTCACGTTTCTGTTCTTTAGTGCCCAGTAAATGGAAACAGCCCCGCGTGAGCGATGCGCTCTCCGCAGAGCCTTGAGGTGTTAATGACCTCCACAATTAACTGCACTCATTAAGCCACCCCGCAGTCGCGATCCTGTCAGCACTTTTGTTGCACGGGACGCATTTCGTGCTTCTGGAAGAAGGAAAGTAAAATAAGAGCTGGGGCGGGTGGGGCGTCTTTTCAGTGAATTTGTAACACATCAAATTGGTTTTTTAACAAGAAGAAATGATTTAATAATTATTTGGGTTTCTGCTACACGAAGATTTAACTTGCTGGGTTACAGAGGCTTATGGCAGTAAGGTTATAAAAATAAAGGATAATCAAAAGAAATTATTATTTTCTGACCACTGGATTTTTTTTGTCCTTACTCTGTTTATTTTCCAGGCTTTTGGTGATGCTGCCATCAATAAAGAGATTTCTGAACTCAAAGTCCACTGTGTGACCCTCGGGTGCAGCTGGTCTGGTATCATGAAAGATTTTGAAGTATGTTAGAAGACAGTTTATTTAGATTAACGTAAAATCTTACTTAAAAGGGGGACAGAGAGACAATGAAAGCAGGTTCTCAGCAAACCCAAATTAATGCAGCATCATCAGCATCAGCGACAGCACTGGGATTTATACCAACAAAATATCTAGAAACAAACCTTCATCCTCCTTTTCAGGCTGATCTGCCCCAGGTAACATCTTTAAATGGGCAAGATTTGGGAATCTGCCATGCAAGTTAGAATAGTGAGTACAAGGGGAAGGCTGGGACCAGTGTTGTGTGGTATTGTTAGAGGGGCAGTTCAAGGCACACCTCGTGTTCGAATTTCCCAAAAGCTCTTTGGTTTTGGCTTTGGCTTTTTTTTTAAATTGAGAATGGACCAAAAAATCCCCAGTAAAGTTGGTGAATTTTTCCCCAGTAATCATCTCCCAGCTCTGTGCAGTGGGACTTTACCCAAGCTCAGAAGAAATGCAGCTCAGGGCTCTGGGCTGCCAGAACAGGGACTATTTACAGAGAGAGGTGAATCAGCAGTTGCTTTTTAACTTTTGACTTCCAGGAGCATCAGAGCTTATGTGAATATGCTTTAATCCCTTGTCACACTGGTTGTGGGCACGTGGTGATGAGGAAAAAACTGGCAGACCACTTGGAAAATGGCTGTGTCAATAATGTGACGGTGTGTCAGCGGTGCCAGCGCAGCTTGTCCAGCTCTGAGTACCAAGTAAGGACATTTCTCTCTCAATTTAGGGCTTTATACTGTTATCTTAAATTACCTATCGTGCCATTTTCCCACCCTGATTTCACTGCACTTGGAGGATATTTAATTTTTCTGAGTTTGGTGATTTTTTCCAGCAGAAATGAGCTGGGTGCTGGAGGGGAAGATGAGCTGGATGTGATAATCTGCTTCCCCAAAGAGGGCAGTGCCTCTGTGCTCTCCCAGGGCTGGGGCAGCCCATCTTTTAGCTCTGGAAAGAAAACCCCAATCCCTCATTTTCAGTGTCTCAGAGTCAGTATGAGGTAGGGGAGAAGCAGAGCAGCACTGGCAGTGGCAGGGAAGAGATCTTGGAAGTGGCTGGAATTTTATTCAAACTAAACCCACCCACACTTGTAAGGCAGGACTGTCAGATATCATTCCTGTTGGGTACAGTCAGGTACAATCCCCAAATCATCAGCAGGGGGTCAATAATAGACCAGGAAGATCATACTCTGAATCTGCCACAAAGTTCCCAGTGAGTAGTTACAGCTTTTATCTTATTTGCTCAAAATAATGAATATTGTTCCCTCCAAATGATTTAACAAGAATAATTAATTGCCAGCCTTGGACTTTTGTCCTGGGATGGGGGCAGAGTGATCCAAGACCCACCTGGCAGGAGGGCTGGGAATATTCTGAAGGTGTAAATAGCAGTGAGCAATAAATGAGCAGTGAATGAGCAGTGAGCTCTGCATGTCCAAACTGCCCCAAACTGCTGCCTTTCCACGGCTTGGGCTGTGAGATTTATTCAACAAGGGTGGGAACAGTGGGAATGGGGTGGAAATCAGGTGCTCTGCTAAACCTGCTCCTTGGGCAGCTCTTCCATGTGCTCCTCACCCCTTATCAAGTCCTCCAGAGCAAGAGGAACACCTGGATCCAGGCAGATCCTCCCCGAGCTCCATCCAGCGTGTTTTCCAGCCTAAACACCAGAAGGTGGCAACACTCAGTCCCTCTCAGCTCTCTGCGAGCTCAGGGCTGGAGGGGGAAGCCTGAGCCGTGGGTGCTCCCGAGCACCTTTCTCCTCTCCCAGCTCTGGTTCCTCAGCTCCGCCCCAGCCCCTCCACCTTCCTCGCTCCGGAGCTCTTTTCCTCCCACTCGTTCCGCTCCGCCGCCACCTCATGAAGTTTTTGGTCAGGAAACCTTGGCAACCGAGCAGGGGGGTTGGCCTGGAGATTGTTGCTTTTCTTTCTCTGCCTCCTTTGGTGTTTGTGAAATTGGAGTGTTGCTGGTTGCACGCTCTATTTTATTAACCTTGCAGCGGAGTGGCTGAAGAATTGGGATTATTTGTGTGTGTTCCCTGTGCCCACAGCCCTCTGGGAGCACACAGGAGCTTTTGGGGCACTGCTCTCCCTCTCTCCAGCTCACACACTCAGCTGTGGCTCTTGTGATTTTTGCATTTCTCTATTTTATAGAAATTTCCCTCCAGGCCTTCCCCCCTCGAGGTCTGAAGTGATCTCCCTCAGATCGGGGATCTGAAGGAGTGAAAGAGCAGAAAGGGAGGAAATAAAGGCATATTTTGTGCAACAGCAAGAATAAAGAGTGTTAAAAACTGAGTTAGAGAAAATCCTGTGAGTGCATTTGTGAGAACCAAAAAGAGAGACTTCAGGACTGGTATGAAGAGGAGTTAATTAAGATTAAAGATTAAAGTCAGTCCCCCCTGAGCAATGTGAATGGAGAGCTGACAGTTGCTGTGTTAAATACAGATATTCCAGCTATGGATCAATGGCAGGGGAATCCCCTTACCCTTCCTGCAGCCAGGAATGGCAGGAAGCCTCCTGTTGGTGGTGATGCACTTTGCATTAACACACCATGCCGGAAAATTTGGATTCCAGCCTCCAAAATGTGCATAAGCAGGGTGGAAGAAGGGTCTGCACATCGAGCAATCTCTATGAAGTCAATGCAGGAAGAGTTTATATTTGGATTTGATTTACATTTGAGCTTCCTGTTCTTGAACTTGTTTATATTTTTATATATATATATATGTATGTATATATTTGAATTTCCTGTTCTGTAGTAACTGGCCAGCCTTGTGTCCAGTATCCAGGGGGAGACCTTGTAGGCCAAGAATTTAATCCTGTGCTGAATTCTTTTCCTCTGGTTTTAATGGCAGGAACACTCCTGTGAAGACAATTTGTGTAAGGAACAAAACCACCTGCAAACAGAAACACCCGAGGAAAAGGTGGGTAAAAGAGGAGTGGCTGCAACGCAGTTTTATTTCAATTAATAAAATTATCACTTGTTCATGTTGATTAAAGAGCATCTGAGAACACCTTCAGGTACAGCAGTTGTATCTGGGTGCTCTTTACAACCCCTGCCTTCTCTTCCCTGCTCCCACAATTAACTTTGGTGAATTATCTTCATTAATGATATAAAATGGGGAAATACTTGTTTCCTCTCACATACTCAGGGAGACCCCCACGAGCAAAAGGGGAGTGTGCAGGGCAGGGTATTTGAAGCATCTTCTTTATGAAGAGTTGGGGTTTGTTAAATTCTGTTGTGTCATTATGGGGTCTGTTGGGTGCATATTTCACTGTGCAAGAAACTTGCAATCAGCCACCTCTTCATTGATTTACCATCGATTTTCAGAGCTGGTTGGACACTGTGTTGATGCCTTGACTTGAGTGAATCTGATTTATGGCTGCTGGGATTGTGACCTAGGGGAAAAAAAGAATCACTTCCAATTGATATTTGATTATTTTCTCTCTTTTTTTTCCCAACAGAGCCTCTCTACACCCTCAGCCCCCAAGGGTGGGTGTCTCTTCTCTGAAGTGGGCTGTTCATTTAGGGTGAGTCCCTTCAGGAAGGTCCCAAATGTTCCACTCTGGTTTGGGTCTTCCCTTCAGGGTTATATCTCCTAAAACAGAAGCAGCTCTTTGCATTTTAGTTGCCTTGTCTCCTCTTTTGTGCACAGTTTAGTTTGTTAAATATTGCCTGACCTGGGAATCGTGCTGGGACTCTGCCTGGCATCCTCTTTAATACCAAAATTGCCACCAATTTTTTGTGTAGCACATGTAAATGCTTAGACTTGATGATCTTAAAGGTCTTTCCAGCCTCAGCAGTTCTGTGACTCTACACGTGCAGCCTAAGCTTGGAGGGCCTCCTGTGCCTCCTCTGATGGCAGCAGATGTAGCTGCACCTGCAGCCTGCAGCTTTTCCACCTCTGTCTCTCCCCAAAAGCCACAGGAACGCTGGGTTTGGCCCCGCCCCAACCACAGGGTGGGCACAGAGGGTGCATTGACCGTGTCCCCTTCTTCCAGGGAAGCAAAGAGAAGGTGAAGGAGCACGAGAAAGCTGCAGTTGGGGCACACTTGCTGCTGCTGCTGCAGCACCTGAGGCAGCTGGAGGGAACCCTGTGCTCTGCTGCCAAGGCTGCCCACAGTGCCACCCCCCAGGCAGAGCTGAACGGGAACAGGGCAGGAAAAGGCATCTCCAGCCTGCAGATGCCAGCAGGGCTGGGCACATGGGGGGATCTGGAAGTGGACTGTCTCCCTGGAGCTTCTGTTTCTGAGGATGAGTCTGCCCTGCAGCAGCTGGTGAGGGAGAAAGTGGTTTCTGAGCTGGAGAACAAGCTGCAGGTGTTTGAGAACATCGTGGCAGTGCTCAATAAGGAGGTGGAGAGCTCCACCCTGGAAATCATGGCCTTCCGCAGGCAGAGCGAGCTGGACCAAAACATCATCCGAGGCCTCGAGCTGAAGGTAAATAGTTCCAATCAGGATTGTCAATGTTTTTGTTCTGTAGCCAGCAAATATTGACAGGTAGCAGTGAGAGGGATCAGGGCAGGGAGTGTGAGCTGGGAAGTGTCAAGTTCTGGACACATCTATGGGATCCTGTTGTTGTTTTGGATACATTTTGAAGTGGGGATCTCTCTTATTTGTTCTCTAAATCCACATTTAGGTACCCAGACGTTCCTGAAGCTTTTGAGTGTTCAGAGTTTGCCAGCATCAAACTGTGAGCAAGCCAGGCAGTTGTTTAATTGACTGATCCCCTTACAGCAGCAGTTTGCCTGGAGGCCCCAACAGCCATCCACCCGCTTGTTTTGACACAGAGCTGTCACTTAGGAAGAAATCAAAGGAGAATTTCCAAAAAGGAGCGCTCTCAGCTGCTCCTGCAGCACAGCCAGGAGAGGGAGGGGGGTGGCTGAGAACCGATTTGTTTCGTGCAGATCGCGGAGCTGCAGCGGTGCCTGACGCAGAAGGACGCGGGGCTGAGCAGCCTGCACAAGAGCCTGCTGTTCTCAGAGCAGGCCTCCTACGATGGCACCTTCCTCTGGAAGATAACAGACGTGGGCAGGAAGCTCCAGGACTCCGTGACTGGCAGGACAATGGGGTTGTACTCACCAGGTAAAGCACAGGGTGGGGCTGTGTTGATGCAAACCCTCATTTCTCCGAGCGCCGCTCCTTTCCGCTGCTCCTTCCAAACAGCTCCTTAATCCAAGATGCTGTCTGGGCAAAGACCTGTAATCTGGCTTTTCCAAAGGGTTGTGCTCTGTTCTGGGCTCTCCTTCTGCAGTTTGCCCTCCACCACAGCTACCTGCAGTGTCATTTGCTGGATCCCTCCGTCCCAATCGACAGCACGATGGCTGTGGCACCACAGGGCTTCCTGCTGCAGCTCTTTCCCACGTGGGAAGTAATTGGATTAGGGAAAATACACTTGTGTGGCTAATAACAGGTAATTTTCACCCAGGCATGAGGCACTAAAAGGATTCCAACCCCTGGAATTTCATTGCTTGTAATCTCCAGGGGGGACTGATTTGTGTGCTCTCCTCCCTGCCAGAGCAAAACACGGCACACGCCACCTTTTCCCACCTGCCAGAAACACTCAGCAGGTCTTCCTGTTTTTCCAGAAGAGGCTTTATTAACAAAGAATTCTGCTTTTCAGCTTTCTACACTGCGAGGTATGGCTACAAGGTGTGTCTGAGGGTGTATCTGAACGGGGATGGCACAGGGAAAGGGACCCACCTGTCCCTGTTCTTCGTGGTCATGAAAGGAGACTATGACGCTTTGCTCCCCTGGCCTTTCAGGCACAAGGTAAGAAAGGAAACCTTCCCATGCCTAAACCCACTGCTTGTCCCTGTCAGCACAGGGGGACTTCTTCTCTGGTTAGTGGAAGCTGGACTGTTTTCCCATTTCCCCCTCTGAAGGCCAGCCTGGAATCCTGGGTGATAATTTGTCTCTGAGGGAATTTGCTGCCTGAAGGTGTCAGAAGGGTGAGAGTTCACCTTACAAAGGTGCCACAGATGTCTCATGTGATCCTGGTCTGATAATGGCAACACTGGTTAGAAAGGCAGTAAAAAACCTGGCAGGGCCTGACCTCTGCTCTGTGTGTGGTAATAATTCCATAAGCCTTTCATATAAATAGCTTTAAATAGCTTAGCTGCCAGTTAGCAGCCAAAAGAATGGAAATCAGAGTTCCCAATCTTCACTGTATTAAAAGATTGTTACATACCTTTCATATTTAAAGCTGAAGAACAGTGAGTTAACAAAAGGGGTAATGAGATGGGGAGATTCTCTACTGATACTTAGGTTGTGTCTTTTCCATATTTGTGCCCAGGCAACTGAGCTGTTTCTTCTGATTCCAAACCACAACAACAGAGCAAATGTAATGAGTGTAACCAAACCCAGGCTTTGTTTAAGCTGTCAGGAGAGAGGAAAAAAACCCCTTTGCACTGCTCAGTTCTCTCCCAAGCCACAATTCCTTTCTTGATTTAATTTAACTTTGTTCTCGGGGTGGCAAAGTTTTAAAGGTCTCATCTGGGAACTGTTACAACCTCCCGTGGTTCCCACGAACTGACCTTGGCTGGAAACGCTGGGCACAGTTCGTGTTTCACTATCAGTTAAACTCCTGCCCCTGGGGTGTCCTGGCTTTATTTTCTCACTCCAGTAACCATCCCTGTCTCCCAGGTGACGTTTATGTTGCTGGACCAGAACAACAGGGAGCACGTCATCGACGCCTTCCGGCCCGATTTGGCGTCCGCGTCCTTCCAGCGGCCGCTGCACGACATGAACGTGGCCAGTGGCTGCCCCACCTTCCTGCCCCTGGCCAAGCTGCAGTCCCCCAGGCACGCCTACGTCAAGGAGGACACGCTTTTCCTCAAGTGCATCATAGAAACCAACTAGAGGATCTTGGCATCTGGGGGATCCCCACCCAAAAAGCCGCCGGTTTGGAGGCCTCGTGCGGGTTTTCGGGCGCACGCGAAGCCCGCTCGTGTCACCTGGAGGATCCCCCTGTGCTGCAGATGCCAAGGGGCTTCCCCCAGTGCCCACGGGATGGGATTATCCCACCCAGACAGCCGCTCCTCCCTGTGGGGGTGTTGGTTCCATCACCCCCAGCCCGTCTGGGGGGGTCTGTGGAGAAAGCACCGCTCTCCCTCACACCCAGCCCGGCCGGGGTTCCTGGCAGGGACTGAGGCTCAAATCCCTTGGATTGCCAGGTTTGGGGGGTGCAAGGGGGAAGCTGAGCATTCCCATCCTCTGGCAGCACCGTGGCACGTGCAGCTCCCTGTGCAGGAGGCACAGAGTCCTGGGAGAGCTGCACCTGCAGCCCCAGGGTGGGATTCTGGCTCTTCCCAGCAGGACCAAGGGCAGGTTCCTCCCCCTGAGGTGTCCCTGCTCGTGGGGCAGCACTGGTGGCTCCCCTCCCTGCCCTGGGGGATTTCTCCCTTTCTTTATTTTGGACCTGTGTTTGTGTGCCCTGGAGACAGAGCTTGTGCTGCAGCAGCAGCAGGGACCAGATCACCCCGTGCCTTGGGGGAATTACTCCTGGGTTTCCAGAGGAGCTGTTTGATTTTCCTGATTTTCCCATTGCAGATCTGGAGCTCTGGGGTTTGGAAACCCCTGGAAACCCAGAGCTCTGCTCCAGGCAGGACAGGGATCCCTCAGTGGCTTTGAACTCTCCAGTCACTTCTTGAACCTTCCAGGCAAGTGACTTATTGGAAATTATTGATTTTTTTTTTTTACTACTTTTTTTCACATGCTCTGATGTTTCAGTCTTTTCACACCCTGAAACAGAAGTAACTGCAGAAATGGGTTTTCCTTTTTTTTTTTTAATAGAAGTAAGAAATTAATAATTATTTTTTTTTAATATGCAAGAGCAGCTTGGCACTGTCTGGATGTGTGCAAAACCTCTCATTTCTATCTTGACAGCATCCTTTAAAATAATTAGTTGTGATAAAGTATCACATTTCCAAAACACCCACCCCATAAACAAATATTTATCAAAGCTTGTTTGGGAAGAAACTGGATATTCTTTGCCATCACAGACACACAGTCTCTCTGCCTGTCTGTCTTTTCCTCTATTCAATATTTAAAGTGTCTTTCAAGGACAGAAAGTTATTTTTCCAGCCCCTGTAACCACACTGGGGTCATTTGCCTAAAAATATTCTGCTTCTCATGGCTGTATCACTGTGGCAAGTGCTGTATTTATTACAATCAGTCATATTTTCTTACCATTTTATTTATTTCCTGAATAAAGCTCAGTAACTTAGGAAAGGTTTGGGTGTTATTTTCCCTGTAAAAGAGGGAGATGTGCTGATGGGGTTTGTTACAGAAAAAGCTGAGCTGTGCTCCAGCTCTTTCCTTCTTCCTGGGGGAAGGAAAGTCTCTTTGGAGCTCAGGAACCACAGCCATGCCCAGAACATCCATCCCCCTCCAACCTGCCCAGCTGGCAGAGCACTCCCAGGCTCGTCGTGTCCCCAGCACAGAGCAAAGAGGAGCTGAATTCCAAAAAAAAAAAAAAGGCGGAGATGGATCAAATCCACGCTAAATAAACAAAAAAGGACGTGAAACCCAACGCCTGCTGCTCTTCCTTCCAGAGGCACAGCTGGCACAGAGCAGCCCAACGTCACCTCGGCCCCAGGGCTGGATCAGCATCCTCGGGAAGGGCTCCAAGGAGCTCGACCTGCCCCCCGGAGCCAGAGCATTACACGGCCCTGTGGAATGTGTGGAGCTGCTCTCCAAGCACAGGGCTCTGCTCCCAGCCCTGGCCTTCCTGGAACTGCCTCCGGCTTTTCATGCCCAAGACCCTGTGAGCCGCAAAACCCCTGGGGAAGGAAGTGGCTGAGGCTTCAGGGAGCCGAAAGTGGAGCGACAGCAAGAGCTCTCCCATCCGTCAGGTCACTTCTGCTGCAGAAAGGAGCAGCCAAAGTGATTTGTTGGGTTTTTTTTTTTGGCCTGGATCAAATCAAAAGATGCAGAAAAACCAGTGAGAATGGGATGGAGTTAAATCATTCACATTTTGCTCCTGTTTAGTGGCTGGGTTGGCCAAGAGTCACTGGGCTCCTGTAGCTACGACGCTCTGGAATAACCAAGGACAAGGGGTAGGGAAAGATCACGTGTTTTTGGAAAGGTCTAATGAAGCTGAATAAAACCAGGCAAAGTTTAGGCTTATGAGCTTCAGGACATGAACTCAAACCTTGCACACAGTGGCTTTGAGCTTTAATTGGGTGTGTTGGTCAATCAGATGGTTTTGGTGAAGAGGTGGTTGAGACTCTCAGAGCAGAAGTGTTGGCCAAGAGAGAGAGGGAATTATGGCAACAGCCTGGAGCTGCTGTGGTTGCAGCCCCTTCCATTGCCATGGATGTCTCCTGCCCAACCAGCTGAATCTCCAGCTGGAAGTGGCAGATCCCATCTCCACAGCAGGCCTGGAGCTCAGAGGCAGCTCCACGTTTGGGTTTCCATTCAATATTCCTCGCCTTCGGTCTCCAAGGCTACACGCCAGCATCCAACCCCTCCTCCCACTCCTGTTTTCAAAGAAAGGAAAACACTGTGAAAAGAGGCTGCAACGATTTCTGGGCAGTTTTCAAAGCCGAAGGGCAGTGCTGGGAGCTGCTCTCCCTGCTCGCTCCACAGGCTCTGCTCCAGCCAGGGCTGTGACTCTCCAGCTGCTCCATCCTCACTGGGGCAGGAAAGCACCTCTGCAGGGTGTGCAGGGTGTGGAGGAGTGATTCAAAGCTTTGAAGGGAAAACTGGGAGTTCTGGAGTAGTGAACTACCTGCGCCTTCATTCAAAACCATCTGCAAATGCAGGTTTTTGTTTGGGCCCAGGAGTCCTGCCCTGGGAGCCCACGCTGGCCACACTCCCTGCCTGAGGAGGGTGTAGGATTGCTGGCCCTCAGCTCGGTGGGTGCTGTGGCAGGAGCACCTGCAAAGAACCAGAGTCAAATATAATTATGTGGCTTCATTCCTGACAGGAAACAGAGGATGCATCTCAAATTATTATTTTTTTTTAATTTAATTTTTGATTGGAGCTCTTGCCCCAGGGCAATGTTACTGTGCTCCCTCCACTGGCAGGTGCCAGCTTTGGGGTGCCCTCTCTGTGCAGAGGCTTTTTGGGGAGGTTACTCCTGCTCACACCTCTGGTGAAGTTGGTCCAGAGTTTGATTTCCGTGTCTCACCATCCACATTCCTGTGGGGAACGACCAACCTGCTGCAAACATCAACCGTGGGGGCTGGGGAGGAGGGTGGTGCTCCCTGAGCCCCACGGGGACAGGCTGGGACAGGAACGGTGCCCCGGGAGTGCCACAATCCACTGGATCTGGGGCAAATCCAGCAGCTCTGACGCAGTGGAGCGAGAAGTGGGATTTATCTGAGGGCAGGGCTGTGGTGGAGGGGTTATTTTAATCCCGAGGTGACTCACGCTATCCCAGCGTGACTCATGTGGAGCTGGGGCCTGGGGCTAGTTAGAGGTGTGGCACAGGATGGCACAGCATGGCACAGGATGGTACAGCGTGGCATGGCATGTTGGACCACCTCCTTCACATTGTGCTGGGCTTTCCTTCTCACACAGACCTGCACAGAAGGAGCAGAGCAGCTGCTCAGGGAACTGTTTCCCACCCCCTTCACAGGTGCAGCATCACGACCCCAATGTTTCACGGGAAAGTTTGGTTTCCAATATTGTTTCTTAGCAGGCAGGATTCGGTGTGTTGGAGAGGCAGCTCAGCAGCGTGCTGCTCATCCCCGGCACCTGGGGAGATGCTCACTTGCGGTTCAAGCCTTGTTGCAGGTGTATTTGGAGCCCCAGCTCCTGGTGCTGCAGGAGCTCATCCATCACAGGCAGGAAAATCCCTCTGGACTCGGCTCGCGCTTGGCCCAGCCCCTGTCCCGGGAATCGGCTCCTCCACGGCCCGAGCAGCCTGGAAAACATTGCTTTCTCAGGAGCGCTTTCCAACAAACAGCGAACTTTCAAATTTCTTCTTGGCACCGACCGAAGCGGTTTTTTTCGGTGATAGATTTTTCTCTGTTGAGATTCAGAGAAAGGCTGAAAGGCTGCTCCCGTTTCCAGGAATCCCGGCGAGCACAGGTCGTTCCCTGTCAGGACAATGCTGTGCAGGCACTGCCCGCATCCCATCCCCGCCCGCCCCTCAGTCCTGGAGGCCCCGGGGGTGCCCTTTTCTGGCTGCAGCCACGCGTGGGAGGAGGGGGACCGGCGGGGAGGCCCCGCGTGTGGCGGGGGGTGCCGGTGCCTCTCCACGGGCCGTGGGTGCGTGGCCGGCCCGGGGTGCCCCGTTCTGGCCCCAGGGAGGTCTGGACGGGTCCGAACTGAGCGGAACTGAGCCGAGCCCTGCCGGTCCAGCCCGTGCCCCGCCAGTGTGAGCCGTGTTTGCCGGTGGGTGCCGGTCCGTGTCGTGCTTGACGGTTCGTGCCGGTCCGGTCCGCTCCGAGCCATTTTTGCCGGGCTGAGCCCTGTACGCCGGTCCGAGCCGAGCCGGGCCGTGCTGTGCCTGTGGATGCTGGACGGTGCCAGGTCGTGCCGTGCCGGACCGTGCTTGCGGTGCCGCTCGGTGCCGGTCCGTGCGGTGCCGGGCGGTGCCGCGGGGATGCGCTGCGCTGCGCCGCGGTGGGACCGGACCCGTGGGAGGCGGCGGGGGCGGCCCCGCTAATTGCATAACCGGGACGTCAATGCCGGCGGGAGCGCGGGGTTAGCGCGGGAAGATGGCGCCCCGCGCCCGGCCCCCGCCGCGCCCCGCAGCCCCCCGCGCCCCGGCCGCCCGCTGAGCGCACCCCGCGGTAAGGGCCAGGCGGGGGCACCGGGCACCAGGCGGGACGGGCGCACGGACGGACGGTGGGTGCTGTGGCAGGAGCACCTGCAAAGAGACCAGAGTCAAATATAATTATGTGGCTTCATTCCTGACAGGAAACAGAGGATGCATCTCAAATTATTATTTTTTTTTAATTTAATTTTTGATTGGAGCTCTTGCCCCAGGGCAATGTTACTGTGCTCCCTCCACTGGCAGGTGCCAGCTTTGGGGTGCCCTCTCTGTGCAGAGGCTTTTTGGGGAGGTTACTCCTGCTCACACCTCTGGTGAAGTTGGTCCAGAGTTTGATTTCCGTGTCTCACCATCCACATTCCTGTGGGGAACGACCAACCTGCTGCAAACATCAACCGTGGGGGCTGGGGAGGAGGGTGGTGCTCCCTGAGCCCCACGGGGACAGGCTGGGACAGGAACGGTGCCCTGGGAGTGCCACAATCCACTGGATCTGGGGCAAATCCAGCAGCTCTGACGCAGTGGAGCGAGAAGTGGGATTTATCTGAGGGCAGGGCTGTGGTGGAGGGGTTATTTTAATCCCGAGGTGACTCACGCTATCCCAGCGTGACTCACGTGGAGCTGGGGCCTGGGGCTAGTTAGAGGTGTGGCACAGGATGGCACAGCATGGCACAGGATGGCACAGCGTGGCATGGCATGTTGGACCACCTCCTTCACATTGTGCTGGGCTTTCTTCTCACACAGACCTGCACAGAAGGAGCAGAGCAGCTGCTCAGGAACTGTTTCCCACCCCCTTCACAGGTGCAGCATCACGACCCCAATGTTTCACGGGAAAGTTTGGTTTCCAATATTGTTTCTTAGCAGGCAGGATTCGGTGTGTTGGAGAGGCAGCTCAGCAGCGTGCTGCTCATCCCCGGCACCTGGGGAGATGCTCACTTGCGGTTCAAGCCTTGTTGCAGGTGTATTTGGAGCCCCAGCTCCTGGTGCTGCAGGAGCTCATCCATCACAGGCAGGAAAATCCCTCTGGACTCGGCTCGCGCTTGGCCCAGCCCCTGTCCCGGGAATCGGCTCCTCCACGGCCCGAGCAGCCTGGAAAACATTGCTTCTCAGGAGCGCTTTCCAACAAACAGCGAACTTTCAAATTTCTTCTTGGCACCGACCGAAGCGGTTTTTTCGGTGATAGATTTTTCTCTGTTGAGATTCAGAGAAAGGCTGAAAGGCTGCTCCCGTTTCCAGGAATCCCGGCGAGCACAGGTCGTTCCCTGTCAGGACAATGCTGTGCAGGCACTGCCCGCATCCCATCCCCGCCCGCCCCTCAGTCCTGGAGGCCCCGGGGTGCCCTTTTCTGGCTGCAGCCACGCGTGGGAGGAGGGGGACCGGCGGGGAGGCCCCGCGTGTGGCGGGGGTGCCGGTGCCTCTCACGGGCCGTGGGTGCGTGGCCGGCCCGGGGTGCCCCGTCCTGGCCCCAGGGAGGTCTGGACGGGTCCGAACTGAGCGGAACTGAGCCGAGCCCTGCCGGTCCAGCCCGTGCCCCGCCAGTGTGAGCCGTGTTTGCCGGTGGGTGCCGGTCCGTGTCGTGCTTGACGGTTCGTGCCGGTCCGGTCCGCTCCGAGCCATTTTTGCCGGGCTGAGCCCTGTACGCCGGTCCGAGCCGAGCCGGGCCGTGCTGTGCCTGTGGATGCTGGACGGTGCCAGGTCGTGCCGTGCCGGACCGTGCTTGCGGTGCCGCTCGGTGCCGGTCCGTGCGGTGCCGGGCGGTGCCGCGGGGATGCGCTGCGCTGCGCCGCGGTGGGACCGGACCCGTGGGAGGCGGCGGGGGCGGCCCCGCTAATTGCATAACCGGGACGTCAATGCCGGCGGGAGCGCGGGGTTAGCGCGGGAAGATGGCGCCCGCGCCGGCCCTCGCCGCCCCGCAGCCCTCGCGCCCCGGCCGCCCGCTGAGCGCACCCCGCGGTAAGGGCCAGGCGGGGGCACCGGGCACCGGGCGGGACGGGCGCACGGACGGACGGACGGACGCGCGGGCGGGCGGACACACACACAGACACACAGACAGACAGACAGACGGCGCCGCGGCCGCCTTTGAATGAGCCAATGGCGGCGGGGCCGCGGCCGCCGCCCGGGGCTGCCCGCGGGGACCCCCGGCAGGTGCCGCCGGGGCACGGGGGGGACCCGCCCGGGAGGCTCCGGCCGCTGCTCGGTCCCGGCACGGGGGCGGCGTGGGCGCTGCCACGCGTGTTCGCGGGCAGAGCGGAGGGAGCGCCCGGGAAGGGAGCGGCGGGAGCCTCGTGGGGAGCGGGGGCAGCCCCGGGAGCGGAGCGGGGACCCGGCGGTGCCGCTGCCCCGGGAGCGCGGGGCTCTGCCGGGACTGGGATCCCGCTGCCCATCCCGGGATGATCCCATCAAGGAACGGGAGAGTTCTCATGGACAGCAGGGTCCGCGCAGAGGGGGAATCGTGGGGAGGTCCGCGGCGTGAGGCCACGCGTGCTGCCACGAGGCCACGTGTGTGGCCGTGACGGGAGCGCAGAGGGGAGAAAAGTCCCTCTGCAGTCGTTTCCGTGGGGATCGCAGCTCAGCTCCTTCATCTCCTGCACCCCAAACCTCGTGGTGCTGTCACTGGGCCACCTGGGTGGTGCTGGCACATCCCTGCTCCTGCAGCAGTTCCCGGTGGTTTGGCACCCCGCAAAACTCCTTGGAATTTGTGATTGAAAAATCACAATGAATTTAAACCTTTTATCCCTCACGTGCCCCTTCCCAAAACCGAGCCGTGTGTCCTGGTGCTGCCCGGCCGGGTGGCTCAGTGCTGTGGGAGCTGTCGAGGGTTAATTCCCTAATTCCCTCTTGCTCACCAGTAGCAAAGATTTTTGGCTGCTCCCTGGATTTCACGGAAAGGAACTTGTTTTGGGTGTCCTGAGCCAGGCAGAACTCAGGGATGCTGTGCTCTGCTGATGGACTCGTTGTGTCGCGTCAGGAGGGCAGGTGACAGCGAGTGTGTCCCCTCCAGGTGCTGCTGATGGAGCCCGCCAAGCTCAACCCCCTCATCCGGGATGTCTATGCAGCTGCTGGCCGGGTCCAGCAGGCTCCTGGTGCCAGCTCAGCACGGAGGGGCAGCGGCTGCAGGGAGCTCATGGTGCGGCTGAGCGAGGGGCAGTACGTGCTGTGCCGCTGGACCGACGGGCTCTACTACCTGGGCAAGATCAAGAGGGTAACGTGGGCACCCGGAGGGGAACGTGGGCACCCGGAGGGGAACGTGGGCACCCAGAGGGGAACATGGGCACCCAGAGGGGAATGGGAGCACCTCAAGTGGTGCCAGTGCCATTCCCTGGCTCAGTTTGCGGCTCAAGGGGTTCTGGCTTAGGCTGCAACGTGCCCTTGCTCAGAGGGGCATTTTGGGTTGATGTCCTGCCCTGGGGTGTCACGCCCCAAACCCAACTTCCTGCAGGCCTGAGAGGCAGGATCAGTCACCAGGGAAAATAGGGGAGTGATGGGATGGGGAGCTGAGACACGGTGGTTCTTCCTGCTCTTTCCTGCAGGTGAGTGGCTCCAAGCAGAGCTGCCTCGTCACGTTTGAGGACAACTCCAAGTACTGGGTCCTCTGGAAGGACATCCAGCATGGTGAGTGTTGCCCCATCCTCCCTTCCCACTGCCATGCTGTGGGGCCCTTCCCAGCACTGTGGGGACGTGGCTGTGCCTCTTCCATCTCCCACTGTGCCCTCCCTGTCCCACAGCCGGTGTCCCTGGGGAGGAGCCCAAGTGCAGCATCTGCCTGGGGAAGACATCGGGCCCCAGGAACGAAATCCTCATCTGTGGCAAGTGCGGGCTGGGTGAGTGTGGGCACATCACCCCGGGGGCTGCCCCGTCCCACCCTGGGGGTCCTGTGGCACTGACAGCGAGCCCTCCTGCAGGTTATCACCAGCAGTGCCACATCCCGGTGGCGAGCGGCAGCGAGGGCCCGCTGGGCACGCCGTGGTTCTGCCGCCGCTGCATCTTCGCCCTGGCCGTGCGGGTGAGTGGGGCTGCCCGGGGTGAGTGGGGCTGCCCGGGGTGAGTGGGGCTGCCCGGGGTGAGTGGGGCTGCCTCGGGGTGAGTGGGGCTGCCCGGGGTGAGTGGGGCTGCCCAGGGCTCCCAGCACCCTCTGCCAGGCAGGATGCACCCGTGCTGACCCCATCCCGCTCGATCCCGCAGAAGGGGGGTGCCCTGAAGAAGGGAGCCATTGCCAGGACGCTGCAAGCTGTGAAGATGGTGCTGTCCTACAACCCCGAGCTGCTGGAGTGGGACTCCCCTCACCGCACCAACCAGCAGCAGTGCTACTGCTACTGCGGGGGCCCCGGAGAGTGAGCCCCTGCCTGCCTGGCCCGATTGGTTTTGTGGGGAAAAGATGAGGGTGGGGATGTTTTACCCCAAGAGAGGAGCCCCTGGCTCGCAGGGCACTGCCCTGAGCCAGCAGCTTTGCTGCCCGTGCTGCCTCTGCCATCCTTGTCTCCACTCGCTCCAGGAGCACTGTTTGCACCCACCTCTGGGGCTGCAGGAAATCCGAGTTAGGGACAGACTTCCTCTCCCTGGCTGCAGGGTGTGTGCCTGGAAGGAGGCTGGGGTGGTGGTTGCCACGTGCTGCCCTCACTGTCACCTTCCTGCTGTCCCCAGGTGGTACCTGAAGATGCTGCAGTGCTACCGCTGCCGGCAGTGGTTCCACGAAGCCTGCACCCAGTGCCTCAGTGACCCCATGATGTTTGGAGACCGGTACGTCCCTCCTGGCTTTGGAGGGGACACATCCCCAGCTGGATCTCCGTGATCCACCTGGCACTGACGTGGCTCAGCCACCCCAGGGCAGGCTGTGCTGTCACTGCTGGCACCCTGACCCGTCCCTGTCCCAGCCTGACCCTGCGTGGCTGTGGGAGTGACTCCCACCCCCAGCTGTCCCTCCCTGCTGTTTTGCAGGTTCTACGTGTTCTTCTGCTCCGTGTGTAACCAGGGGCCCGAGTACATCAAGCGCCTGCCCTTGAGATGGTGAGAGCCAGGCCCTGGCTCCTCTGGGGTGTGCCAGGGTGGCCATGGGGCACTGGACTGGCTGAGCCCTGCAGGTGTTCAGGACCATGCACCCTGGTCTAGTGAAAAGTGTCCCTGCCCACAGCAGGGGATTGGAACTGGATGATCTTAAAGATCCCTTCCAACCCAAACCATTCTAGGATTCTGTATTTGGGGTTCCCCCCAGCTGCAGGCAGTGTACCCCCCTTCCCTCCCCAAAACTCCAGGGATGCTGTCTTGGCTGTGACATCCCCCAGGATGCACCTCTGGACTGGGTTGCTTCCCCTGTGAGGTGTGGGAATGGTCTCAGGTTCCAGCAGTGGGTTTTGGGAGGACCTGTGAGTTGCTGTGGCACTGGCAGAGCAGGGAATCACGGTGGGTACTGTCCTGTGGGGAAGGGGTGGGCTGCTGACCCTCTGCCCCCCCTTGGCTGCAGGGTGGATGTCGTCCACCTCGCCCTCTACAACCTGGGTGTGCAGAGCAAGAAGAAATACTTTGACTTTGAGGAGATTTTGGCCTTTGTGAACCACCACTGGGATCCGCTGCAGCTCGGGAAGGTACCAACACACAGGGCCAGAGCAGAGTGTCCCACTGGGCAGTGTCTGTGGTGGAGGGGGGGACCCCTGAGCTGGGAATGGTGTCAGCCCCTGGGCTGGAGTGGGCAGGGGGTGTAGAGCAGGAAAGGACACGCCCATGTGTTGGCAGTGCCGCTGTGCCAGCAGCCCCATGCCACCGAGCTTGGGCACCTCTGCCAAACCCCAGCTCCTTCAGCACCTGGGATGGGTGCTTCCTGCTCCAAGTGAGCTTAATCACCTTCCTCTGGGCTGGGATTGCCCTTGTTGGGGTGCCAGAGCTGACACATTTCCCAGTTGGAGCCGGGCCTGGAGGAGCAGGAACACCAAGGCGTGTTGGGAGCCTGTGCCTGCCGTGGGATGGGTCGGCTCCCTGGAGGTGCCAACCCAGGCCTTGGCATCCTTCCCTCCCTGGCCTTGAGCACGAGCTGAAAGCCGGAGTTTGGGTTCCCCCATCTGTCTGGATTTTGTATAACCCCAGAGGGTGCCGAGCCCTCCTGACCCCGCTCTCCCACAGCTCACGGGCACCCCGGTGTCAGAGCGCGGCCCCCACCTCCTCAACGCCCTCAACAGCTACAAGAGCAGGTGAGTCCCTGGCGAGGGGACAGGGTGGGGTGCAGGACACAGGCTGTGCTCCTGTGCCCACCCTCCCCCGGGCTGAGGGCTGTTCCCTCCCCTGCAGGTTTCTGTGCGGGAAGGAGATCAAAAAGAAGAAATGCATCTTCCGCCTGCGCATCCGCGTGCCCCCGAACCCCCCCACCAAGGTGCTGCCCGAGAAGGGCCCGGGCGAGGGCGAGGGCGGCTCCTGCGAGCTGAAGAAGAGGAGCAGAAGCAGATGTGTCCACAAGGATGGGTGAGTGGGCTCCTTGACCCCGGGGCACCCCCTGCAGCGGTGCCCTGTGCCCCCCTCACGGCCCTCTCCTCTGCTCAGGCTCCTGCCACTGCAGCAGCACCAGCGGCGAGCGGCCAAGCGCAAGAGGGCCAAGTTCCTGCTGGAGGATGCCATTCCCAGCGTGAGTCCTTCTCTTCTCCCCCTGCTCTGTGCAGCCGTCCTGGGATCTGGTGGATGAGCGGGATCCCTGCAAGGTTTCCCTGCTCCTGTGGGCAGGGAGAGCCCCTGTCCCTCCCCTGGGAAAAGTGGGCTTGGCACAGAGCACTTCCCGTGGGCAGGAGGGTGGTGGTGCCAGTGCTGGGGGGCACGGGCAGCACCCCTCTGCCAGGCAGTGACGAGTGAGCTTGTTTTTGTGACACAGAGTGACTTCACCTCTGCCTGGAGCACCAACCACCACCTGGCCAGCATCTTTGACTTCACGCTGGATGAGATCCAGAGCCTGAAAAGGTCTGTGGGGCTGGGCCGGGGGCGTGGGGGGCCAGGGTGCTGCTTGTGCCAGGCTGGGGCTGACACTGCATGCCATGCCATGCCATGCCATGCCATCCCATCCCATCCCATCCACAGTGCCAGCTCAGGACAGACGTTCCTCTCAGATGTGGACTCCACGGATGCCGCCAGCACCTCAGGCTCGGCCACCACGAGCCTCTCCTATGAGTCCAGGTGAGGGCTGTGCCCTTTGCCCCCTCTCAGAGGGGTCCCAGTGGCATGGCCAGGAGGGTGAGGGGCCTCATGTCCTGGCACAGGGCTGTCCCATGTCAGGGAGGAGCCTTTGCCCCCGGTGTCCCAAAACGGGCCGGTGGTCCCAGAGCAGCCCTGCTGTGCTGGGCATGCAGGGTCAGGGCCCTCAGTCCTTGCCAGGCTCCCTCAAATTCCAGACACGGCGTGGGGCACCTTTGGGTGCTGCCCTCACCCTGCTCTGTCCCTCCCTGGCAGCCAGAGGACCGTGGGCAGCCGCAAGCGCAAACTGGCAGCCCCCAAGTGCAGGGGAGGGGACAGGGGCGGCCGCCCGGCCCCGGGCACCCCCGAGGGCAGCGAGGAGACCCCGGGCGGCCCCGAGCACCCCGACGGTGGCGGCATCGACAGCCACACCTTCGAGAGCATCAGCGAGGACGACTCGTCGCTCTCCCACCTCAAGTCCTCCATCAGCAGCTACTTCGGGGCCGCGGGCCGGCTGGTCTGCGGGGAGAAGTACCAGGTGCTGGCGCGGCGCGTGACGCTGGAGGGGAAGGTGCAGTACCTGGTGGAGTGGGAAGGCACGACCCCCTACTGAGCCCTGCCAGCCCTGAGACCTCTCCTGGAGCCAAGCCAGAGGAGATGGGGGCGCTGGGGCAGTCCTGGCCTGGAGGCAGAGGAGGGTGCTGGTGCCCCCGGGAGCCTCCGCGGGTGGAGGCAGCGCCCGCGCCAGCACCGCCAGTGGTGCTGCCAAGGAACGGAACCTAAAGCCTTGATGCTCTTTTTTTTTAAAATTTTTTCTTATTTTAACAATTTTTAGTTTCTTGGCCAGTTTTTTTCCTGGCTGGGAGCGTGGCCCAGCCACACTCTGCTGGTGGAGCCTTTGGCCGAGCCCAAGGCACCATCACGATGGTGGTAAGAGCAGTGAGTGGCTCTGACCCCTCCAGAAGGGTCCCCTGGCACAGCTGGGGAAGCCACTTTGGGGGACACCCCACAACCTGCTCACATGGATGGAGGTCAAAGCCTGACTTGTCCCTGCATCCCAGCCTTACAGAGCAGCCTCGAGGGGGTCCCAGTGCCCAAGCACAAAGCCCCTCCTCCCCCCAGTGCTTTCCCAGCCCCTCACTGTGCCTGTGGGAAAAGAGGGGTGACTCTTGGGGTTTTCTGCCTCAATCCTAAATCCATTCATTAAAGGAATGTGGTTTGTTTTAAATGAGGGGAGCAAACAGCCCACGTGTGGCTTTCACGGCCACAGGGCAGACGTTGGTGGCTGCTCTCACCTCTCAACCTGAACTGCCTGTGATGCTGCACCAGCTTCATTTCCCTGTTCTGACAATCATGACCCTGGAAGAGATTGGCCAAAAGATCCTCCTTTGCCTTAAAGCACTTAAAGGGCACTTCACAGACTGGAGCCCGAGGCCTTTGTTCTCACAGGAATCTTCACCCTGAACGTGCCAAACCAGCAGACAAAACCAAAAAGGCTGAAGAGGACAGTGGGGACGTGGGGAGGGGGTTGTGCCAGTGCCTCCCTGGAGAGCACTTGATGTTTGGGAACACCTGGGGTTGATTTGTCTGTGGGAGGGAAGGAACAGCCCCCTTCTCTAACAAGGCAACACTGCCAGGTTGGGCAGGAGCAAAGCAGTTGGCTTTTTAAAAAAGATTCTAATATCAGATATATTTGTTAGATTTTTTTTTTCTTAAAAGATATATATATATATTTAACGTTGTCCTCCTTGTCTCTCCCCCATCCCACCACGGCTGTCCCATGGGATGGAGGGTGGGTGGGCTGGGTGGTCTTGCTCCATCAGCAGATCCTGTCCTGCAGCCCCATCACCGTCCATACCTGTGCCTGTGGGATCTGCTGACCAGAGGGTGAGTTGAAAAGGTTGTTTTACTGAAAAAGTACTTAAAAAAATCCCTCAGTGTAGCTGACCCGTGCTGTGGTGCAGAGCAGCAGCTTCTCTGCAGCCTGGGGGGTGGTTTGGGCCAGGCAGGAGCTGGTTCAGTGCCTGGAGAAGGAGCCTGAGGATCTGGCTCTGGATCAAAGCACTGTCACTGCTTCCTCAGGGCTGCCCAGTGCCCTGTGCTGGGGGACAGGCTGTTGGCCCCTTGTGCAGGGACAGCTTTGGGAGGGAAGGCTCTGTCCAGCTCCCAGCCATGAGATGGTTTGGGCTGAGGGCTCAGCTGTGCCTTGGGGAGTGGTGCTTGGCACCCTCAGGGTCTGCATCCAGAGGAACCCCATCCTTTAGGGATGTGTGCTGCCAGGCCCCCATCCCTGGCAGGGCGGGGTCCAGCAGCTGGATCACTCCCCATCCTGCCTGGGCTTTGTCACCAAAGGATCCCTTAAAATGTTTCCCTTCCTCGAGTGCCTTGGGAGCCCCTGCCAAGGGCTGTGCCAGGCCGAGCAGGGTCACTCCTGTGGGATGTGCCAGTGGACATCACAGCCACAGCAGCACCCACGGGATGGGGCCCCTCTCACTGGGGGCCACGTGGTTCCTCTCTGTTCCCTCTCATTCCCTCCTGGCTTCTTGCAGAGAATTGAATGTGGAGCCTTTGAAAGTATTTTTGTTGCAGAGTATATTTTGCATTCGCTGTAATCGAGATTATAACGGCTCTGTGCACCTTCTGATTTCTGAGTTCAGGTTGCTGCTTGTAATAACCAACTCTCCTTATACCCAAGTTGTAATTAATATGTCTGATGTTCTGGTGTACAATTAAAAAGTCTTTTTTTTTTTTTCTTCTTTTTTAACATCACTGTTATTTTGTAGTGTGAGGATTTTTGGGTTTGGGCTCTGGAGGTCAGTCCGTGCTCCTGGGGGGATGCCCAGTGCCCACCATGGTGCTACTGTTTATTCCCTTCCCATAAATCCTCGATATCATCCCATAAGTTATATCCCAATAAACTATTAACAAGCATCTTTTTGCAAGGTTAAGCTTGGCCTGGGCAAAAAGTCACCGTTCAGGCTGGGGTGAGGGATGCAGGGCTGGGGTGAGGGATGCAGGGCTGGGGTGAGGGATGCAGGGCTGGGGCAATGTCCTGGTCCTGTTGGCACTTGGGTTCCCTGGGCTGGCCATGGAAGTTGCCCAGTTCATCCCAGCTCATCCCAGCTCATCCTGTCTCCGTGGCAGGGCAGGGTCACACGTGTACTGCTCGTGGCTCTGGGTAGTTCCTTGTGGCATCTGCTCATGTTTGCTGCTTCCCTGGATCCTGGGAGGCTGCAGTGCAGTTTCCTGACAGCAGGAGCCGGCACATCGGGGGGTGCCCAGCCACATCCTGCTGCCTCGGGGCTGGGGGAGAGCAGGGCAGGATGCTGGCACCGAGCAGGGGGGCCAGCCAGGGTTCAGGCACTGGCTGTGGGCACACATGGAACTGGAGGGGCTGCCAGGCCATGGCTTCCAGAAGGAATTTGCTGCTGGCTGCCTGAAAGAGCTGAAAGAGCCCCCAAGTGCTGCAGTGGCCTGACGTGAGCATCTCTGTATCCTCATCCCCAATGGTGCAGCCTTTCCCTCCTCAGCCTGCACCAGCTCTGGGCTGCTCAGAGTTCCCTGCTCAGGCCGAGGAGAGGATGTTTCCAGTGCAAACAAAATTCCCAATCCCAAACTTCTTTGTTCCAGCAAGCCCAAGGAGACAGAAGCTGCCTCCTCGCACGTAGGTCCTGCCTGCCCAGGGGGACCCGCAGGGCTCCCAAAACTGAGGTGACCTTTCCAGTCAGTCCCGTGGGACGTTTTCCTCGATCCATTTGAGGTAGAGAGGGTTTCCTTGGTCGATAGGCAGGCTGATGATCTCGGGGATTTCAAAGGGATGGATGGATCTGAAGTGGAAACAGCCGCACAGCAGCAGTGTCAGCACAGCTCCCGGCGCAGGAAGCCGAGCTCCCGGCTCCCAACCGCTCATCCCAGCCCTGCCCCGCGCTCCCCACCGACTTCAAAGCGCCCGCAGCTTCTTTTTGCCATGTGGGAATTTTGCTTTGAGTTTGGGGTTTACCACAGGCAGCAGCAGCCCCACTGCCGGGGGTCTGGCCCAAAGCTGGCTGTGCTCGCCCTGAGGGGCTTGGGGAAAGCAGGAAATCCTGCCAGGAGGCTGCCAGGGAATAGCCTGTGTGAGGAGAAGGAGGATCCCTCCTCATACCCGGCATGGAGGGGGTGGTTGAAGCCCAACAGTTGGTATTTCTGCCAACTTTTTCCTTTTTGTGCTGATGCCACCTCCGGGTTTTTCTGGCTCATGGGTGCAGCGGGAGCACTTCACCATACCCTGGGTGGGAAGGGGCTCAAGGAACTCCCAAACCTGAGCAGGAGAGGACAGCCTACCTTGGACTGGGTACCCAGTGCTCCCCCAGAGCTCCCACAGAGCCAGAGCCTCACCTGACGTAGTTGGACAATTCCCCTATTTTGGATGTCCTGGTTTTCACGATCTGTGGAGAGTAAAAACACCAAAACACACAGGGAGATCCTGCACCTGCAGTTCCACTGCTCCCATCCAGCACTGCCATGCCCACAGACAGGTGTTTGGGATCCTATTCCAAACCGTGGGCAGGTTGGTGCCACCCTCCCCAAACCTCCCTCGCAGCCCTTTTCTGCTGGGGTCGTTTGTGATGGGAATTTGTGAGGCACGGAATGATCACTTACCAGCAGTATTTCAGTGGATTCTTCCAGCTCCCCTTTCCAGAAATACCTGGATTTAAAAGAAAAGCAGCATCAGCAGATCCAGCTCTGTCTGCAGCCCTGCCAGTCCCTCTAGGAGTTATTTGCCCTGCTTGGTGCTTTCCTCAAGTGGCTGTTTCTTTACCAAGTGGCTCAAAAAGCATCGCTGGCCCCAAAACCGCTGAGCACGTGACTGAGCACCCTGGATTTATGGAGCAGAGCCTCCTGGGCTGTGCCAGCCTCCAGAGGGCTGCCCAGGGGGGATGCCAGGGCGAATTTGCTGGGACTGGGGTGTCCGTGGGGGGCTGTGGGGGTGGCCCCGCTCTGAGCAGCGGCCGAGGGACGGCACCTGCAGGGATTGCATCGGGAGGCTGAGCACGGCAGCACTCCCTCCTTTCCTCCTCTCCTTCCCTGCAGGAGAGGAGATGTACTTGTCATGAGTCAGATGTGACCTTTCCAAGCAGTGCCAGAAGGCCGTGGTGATTTCATCTGCACGCTGGGGCTCCTGCGCTGGGAGGGCTCGGAGGCGTCGCGGAGTCTCCGGAGCAGGGCCCGGAGCAGGAACCACCTGGAGCAGCCAGGGCTGGGCAGGAGCAGCTCTGCTCGGGCTGTGGGGGCTCTTGGGGAGTGATGGACGAGGGGAAGGTGGTTATTAACGGGTCTGCCCTGTTTCAGCAGCCTCTGCCTGGCTATGGGAGAGCCTGGCGGGTGCACTGGGAGAACCCCTCCTGCAGGGAGGCTGAGGTGGGATCTGCTCCCCTCTTCTGGCAGGGCCAGGGTGTTCCCGTGAGGAAAGAGCTGAGGAAAGGGCTTTGCTCTTCAACCCCTCTAACCAGTGCAATCCCTCTGTGTGGATGGCTGAGGACACCTGCAGAGCAGGTTGTGGTTCAAGGTCAAAGATCCTGGTCTGTCTTCCCTCCCGAGAGTGCTGCTCAGTATTGTAAAGGCCTTTTCTGGTCCCTGTCTGGGCTTCTTTTTAGAGCCTCTAATAACAGGCACCACGTCCTCAGGACCATAAATCCTGGATTGCTGGATCTCCCTGTAGCCAAGGAACCAATAAACAAATGGTCCCCACGGGCAGTCAGAGCATCTGCACTCCTTAATGAGCCTGGAGCACGGTGAGGCTCCTCTCTCCCATCTGCACCAACAAACAGACCCAGCAGCCTTCTGGAAACTGCCTCCTCTGCCCAGGGCCACGAGGTGTCCATCTCCTCCTTTCCTCCCTGGAGAGCCTGGGTTTGCCTCCTCCACTGGGGAATGTTGAGCCCAACTTACAAGGCCGAGCTCTTGGGCAGGATGTTCACCTGGGCAGCCAGCTTCTTATCCATGATGGCCCTGGGGGAGACAGGAGGGGAGTCAGTGCCAGCCCAGCTGAGTGCTCAACCCCACATATTCCCTGGTGCTGCCCTGGACTGCCACCAGCAGCTGGGACACAGGAGATGTGGAATTTTGGGTTACTTATTACCCCGAGAAAGCTGAGGCAAAGGTGACCTTCAGCTGGAGCTGCTTCAGCTCAGGCCCTCCTGACAGGGCTCTGGGACCCTCCCTGCTGTCCCTCTGTGCCAAGAAGGAAGGTTGGGTGTTTCTCCTGGCCTGGATGGTGCCAGGACCCTGCCCAGTGTCACCCCTGTGCCCCCCTGGCTGTGGGGCCACAAGAGCCGGGGCTGGGATGGACGGGAAGAGGTTTGTCTCCCACTCATGTATTTACAGTCTCAAACTGTGCCTCTTCCTCACAGAGCAGCCTCAATGTGGATCTTGTTAAATTAACAACATCAAGGTTTTTCTACCCAAAATGTCCTAGAAATCTGAAGCCCAAACAAATTCCTTCCCTGCGGCTGCCCCCGTTCCTTGTGGGCTGGTTTGTTGTTGCAGAGCTGCCTGGCCCTGCCAGCACAAGTGATACTTGGGTGATTACAGACTGCTGAAGCAATCTCAGGGTGGATTTTCAGAAGAAAGGGGTAAATGATGTGTTTTGTGACCACAGCAATGTCTGGCCCTGCTCAGGGAGATGCAGCCCCAGCCCCTGCAGGGAGCTCTTTCGGGGCACTCGGTGACCTCACCTTTGGTTTTCTTTAACACTGTCCTCCCCAGGAATTACTCCCTCCCAAGGGCTTTGGCAATGCAACATTTAACTTCTAGAGGAGCCTGAACTGCAGAGGAGACATTAGCTATTACATACTGGAGGCCTTGATTCAACAGCCTGCAAAAATTAACTCTTGGTGAGGTAAAGAACTAAACCCATTCCAAGTAATTCAAAACTCTCTGCAGAATGGGTTTGGCTCAGAGCAAGTTAATACTTTTTTACCCTTACATACAATGTGTGGATGGAGGAGACTATGAACAAACTGGACCCTGCTAACTGCTGGGATGGTGTTTAATGTTTACAGACAAAGGTTATGGACGTGGACTGGTGGCCAGAGGGGAGAGTGTCCAAGAAGGCTCAGGGTTGTTTGCTCTCACCATGTGTGGGCAGTTCCAGGCATTTAATGCTCGTGGAGCATCTTGAGTTAATCTTTAGACCCACAAACTGCAGCAGCACGAGCAGAGACACCCCTGCTGTGACTGTTGTGTCACACATGGCACAAATCACTTCAGTTTTGCTGCCTGAGACGTGCAAGTGGCTTTAGCACAGGGGATTTTTGATTTGGGTGCTCTGCCCCAGTAAACTGAGATACCAGCTGAGATCCTGAACTTGGTTCTAGCAAGCTGAGCAGGAACAAGTGGACACCACGGGAATGGGGAACATTATAAGGAGCTGAATGTGATCTGTGGAAAACAACTGCATAATACATGATAGCTTTGGGTTGGGCACTTAATGTGTGTCTCTTTGTCCTTGGCTCACAACAGAACCTGAATGGAGACAGATTAAATATTAATGAGCTGAAAAGCAAAGCAAATGATATGCACTGAGCAGTGCAAGGGAAGAATAAACAGCACAGGAAAAAGGTGTGTGGGAAAATGAGCATGAAGCCCTCATGTCACCCTCTACAACCATGGCTCATCCACCCAAATTCCAGAACAAAGGAACAGTCACCCCACCAGTAAAACCACAACCAAAGTACAAATATCTCAGCCATGGGGGGGCGGGGAGGATTTATTTCCTCTCCCTTCCCTGCAAGACGAGGAACAAAGAGTGGAAAATATTTGCAGAGCTGTTAAGATGAGGCATTTTCAGGCACTGAGGCTCTTTTCACCAGCCATTTACAGTTACTCCCTTTTTTAGTGCAGACATAATTCCACTTGAATTTCTTAGTACAGTTGCAGCATTTAAGGTGACACAGAATCCCTTTCAGGGGCCTGACCAACTGTTTGGGAGCACTTCACTGGAGCAGGAGGGTTCTTGGCAAGCAGCAGGGGAGCAGGGAAAACAGCCCAGGAGGTGTTGCAGGAAACTTCACGGTCCATCATAAACACTTCCCCAGTCAGCACAGGTTCAGGGCTTCGAACAAACCATCTATTGAGTCAGGCACTGACAGATGTGTGAAAAAAAAGACCAACCCTGCATGCAAAATCTCATGCAAAGTATCTCATATATTCAAACAGAAGGAAAAAAAAAAATGGAGGTAAAGCCCTCGCTCGCTGAGTTTCTGGTGGGCAGAGTGCAGCTCCCAGGGGGGACCTCAGCAGTGTTTGGTGTGGATCTCCTTTCACCTTTTCTGTACTTGAATGACATGTGTTTGTCCCTATCTACAAATGCCCCTCCTGGCATTTTGCTGTCTGCTGTTCCAGAGAAGAAGAAAAACTGTGGTGGGTCAGGGAACGAGAGGCTGGGGCTTGGTCCATCTGGGGACACAGAGATTCAGGGCCATGGCTTTAAAATGGGCCTTGCAAACGAGAGGCAGTGGAATAAATTGCTAATTACTTGATGTTACCATGGCATTGACTTCAGAGGTAACTGTCAGGTCTCTTTGAGACAGAACAGCTCCTGATGAGGGGGTTTGTGACACAGAGAGAGAGTCAGTGAGAGTGATGCTCTGGTACCAGAGAATCATTGGTTTGGATTGGAAGGGATCTTAAAGGTCATCTCATTCCACCCCCTGCCATGGGCAGGGACACCTTCCACTAGCCCAGATTGCTCCAAGCCCCATCCAACCTGACCTTGGACACTTCCAGGGATCCAGGGGCAGCCACAGCTTCTCTGGGCAGCCTGTGCCAGGGCCTGCCCACCCCAGAAATGCAAAACAGCACAGATCCCCTTGAGGGCCAAGGGAAAGCTTCACTGCACAGGGAGCAGCTCGGGACCCACCGAAGCAGGGGGGGCATCTCCGTACCTGGCGATGTCCTTGGCGATCTGCTCGTTGAGGCAGTTGATGAAGGCCATGGAGCTGCTGCCAGGGATGTAGGTGCCGGTGAGGGCCGAGTGCAGCTGCAGGGCCAGGCCCCTCAGCAGCGGGGACATCAGCACTGCCAGCGTCACCACCTCCAGGAGGCACCGGGGGGGGGTGTGGGAAGAACACAGGTGAGGATGGCAGGGCAAGCACTCTGGAAAACTCAGCATTTACATGTCTGTGTCTGGGGGGACGTTCCCAGGCTCCTCCCAGCGCTTTGGGGTTTAGGGGAGAACATGCTCACAGGGGGATTGATTCCACTCCAAAGGGGACAGGAGAGGGGCAGTTTTGAGGCTGTATCAGCCCCACCTTGGCTGTGGGAGGTCCCCCCTGGACTATCAGGGGTTACAAAACCCCCTCACGGCTCAGCAGCCAGGACTGGGTTTCCACAGCAGAATAAATACACCTTTCTGTGCTAAAAAAGGCACAAAAAGGGAATGGCTCCCACCCCAAGCACATCTTTTCCTGCTGAGGACCCATCCTGCAGCCATCCTTCAGCCAAGGGTGTGCCAAGGGTCCATCCCTCTGGGAAATGGGGCCAGGACCCTCTGCCTGCCCGGGGATGGGGATGGGGGAGGGAGAAGAGCAGCGTGCCAGGTAGGGATTTGTCCATGGGAAACAGATTTGGGCAGGAGCCTGATGGGGGACCAGAGCCCCAACCTGTGCACCTGCAGAGCTTTCATCCTGCCCTGTCAGCCCAGGAGGATTATTCTCCTTTGCAGCCCATCCAAGCTATGCCACAGCCTGCAAGGGAGGGCAAGACTTTGAGGCAACTTTTAAGTTCCTTACACCCTAATTATCTGACTACTGCCAGTGCAACTGGATCCTTTTGGGGCCAGCAATCCGACTGGCACATCCCAGGGCTGTGGGGCTGCACAAACAGCACCGCTGTCCCCGTGGCCTGGCAGGGCACAGCAACAAGTGGGTTTTGCTGGGAATCAACTGCCATTCTTGGCAAGCCCCTTCACTGCTGCTTGTGCTCACATGCCATAAACAGACTGGTAAAAACACATCATCATCTCAGCAGGGATGCTGCTGGAGAGGGAGGTGGGTCTGGAGTGCTGAGGAGCAGGCAGGGACAGGGCTGCAGCACTCGCAGGCTCTCCCAGCTGCTCTTCCCTTTGTCTTTTGTTTTTGACACAAACAGCATCTGGCCCTGGTTCAGCTGCAGTGATTAAAACATGCTCATAAGACTAAGAATATATTCCTTTTCCCCCCCTTATTTCCACTCTCCTTTGTCCTCTGAAAATCCTCCCATTACAGTGCCAATGTCAAATTCTTTTTTTTTTTTTTTTAAAAGATTGAATTAAAAATCTCTCTTGTCACCACAAAGTCAAGAGCTCTTTTCCATTTGGAAAATGACTGATGTGTTCTATTGCTCGTCTCCTCTTTTCCAATCCATTTGAGGAAATATTCTTTGTTATCCCAAGGTTTCTCATAATAATTTTTAGAGCTCCTTCTGTGCTCTTTTTTTCCCATTAAGCCATTTAACAAATATACAACAAGCCCCAGGAGCTACTCAGAGAATTACAAGCCAAGCAGGGATATGCTGGTGTACCTATTTTTCAGATTAAAATGTAATCATTGCTCCTGGCTCAGGAAATAAAAAAAATCCAACCTGTTCAGCCCGGTGATCATTAATCTTCTTGGAAGATGTATGTGCATAAATCCCCAGGACCATTTGTGATTGAATATCAGAACAAATATGAGCACTTTCTTTTCTGGGGGGGTGTTTCCCTGCTTTTTATCTCTGAAGAGAAAGATAAAAGACCCTCACCCCCCCCTTTTTTTTTTTTCCTAGAATAATTGTATTTGCTAAGAGGTGGTGGAAAAGAGGAGTGAAACTTCAGGATTCCTGCCTGATAAACCAAATAAACTCAAATATTGAACAAAACTGAAAACACTCCTGTCAGATTTTAAACACTTCACTGAAAAGAACCCAACAGCAAAAATGACAGTTGAGTTCAGAGAGACTCAGATTTCTGCAATATTTGTTTTGGCTTTGCTGAATTAAAAAACAAACCAGCTTTAGAATCGCCACGTTAGGACCTTCTGCCTAGTTTTGATGAGGTTGTGTGTTAAAAAAAAAAAAAAAGCCAGCAAACAACACCACCCAAACACAACTCGTGGCAACGCTGAGTTTGCCCCGAGCTTTCCTGAGAGCGAGTGGGGAAAACAAACAAACAAACCAACAAACAAACAAACTCCTTGGAAATTCGCTTTGCTCTCGGCAGAGACGGGGAGGACATGGATTGGTGCAGAGGTTCCCTTGGAAAGGCACGGGCAGGTATTTCCAGGGTTGCGTGGTGAGGGTCGATGTCCCCAGCGGGTCACCCGTGTCCCCCCCATCCCCATCCCCATCCCAGAGCCAGAGGCTCTCACTTACCAGCAGCAAAGTGCCCCTGCCTGGCCGGGCACAGCCCTGGGCAGCGGATGGCAGCGGGCAGCGCTGGCTCAGCCACTCCATGGCCGTCCCCTCCGTCCCTTCCACCTGCTCTGCCCGAGCTGGGAGCGCTGCCTGGGCAGGCTGCCCGCGGGAGCACAAACTCCTCCTCCTGCTCCTCTTCCTCCCCGGCTGGCACAGCCTGCCCAGCGAGGGGCAGGGGTAGGGGACACACACACAGGGTTCTGTCCCCTCCCTGCACCTGCCTCACCCGCAGGGCTGGGGGCACGGATGGCCCAAAAGTGGGGACAAACCAAGCCCTGGGGGGTATGGTGTTATCAAACTCCTGCCCCGGTATGTGCTGGGAAATCCCTCTCTCCGGTGCTGTCCCCGGTGCTCTGGGACCTGCTGATGCCACTTGTCACTTTAGCTTTGAATTCCCCAAATATAAACCAGTTATCTTCTCAGATTTAATGCTGTCAGGGCTCCGTACTCTTCAGTTCTCCCTGTGCTGTCCCCGGTGCTGTGAGACCCTTGATGCCACTTGTCATTTTTGCTTTGAATTCCGCATCCATAAAGGAGTTATTTTCTCAGATTTATGTTGTCAGGGCTCTGTACTCTTCAGATTGAAACCATCAGGCAGCTGCCAGGTCCTGTTGTGTTGTTTGTGCCTGAAACCTCCAGCAAGGAGGAACCGAGCGCTGCGTTCTGTCTCACCCCATTTATTTGGGTTCCTGTCGGACCTTGACTGTGTTCCTGCTGTAACTTTATTGAGCTCCCATCAGTTCCCACATTCCAGCCTGGATTTAGAACCTGCCCCTCCGTGCTCTGGAAGGTGCTGAGGACACGGTGCCACCTTGGGGTCTCAAGAGGTCTGAAACACCCCTGAGCTCTGCAGGGCTTTCATTCACTTTATTGTGCAGGGGTTGAAAAATTAACATTTTCGCAGCTGGTTTGAAACAAATCCCCAGTTTTCTCGCAGTGGCCGAGCTGTCCCCAGGGCTGAGGGGGGGTCCCAGCTCTGCCCCCGCTGCAAACCCCTCCAGGTCCCCCCATCACAGGGGTGACACCATTTGGGGGGTCTGCTCTGGGACCCGATTTTAGGAGCTCTCTGAGCACACACACACAGAGCATAGTTTAGAAAGAAGATATTGTTTATTCTGCGCAGGGTGGAAGTTTCCTCAAACCGAGCACCCCAAGTTACATATTTTACAGGGTAAAATTTACATGAGCACATAACATATTGACTTGTGTGATGCAACCTTAGGCAGGGCTTGAAACGCAAAGTTCTTTTCTTTGTTATTGTAGAAGCTGTCTGAGGACACCAGTTACGCTCCTCAAAAGATGAGAAAATTCACCTTGAACACACCGCGGGCAGAGGGGAATGTTCTGCACAGCCCCGGGAGCTGCCGGACCCACACGGGACGGGGCCCTCTCGTGGGATCAGGAATTACCCTTCCCTCCTCCCGACAAAGCCGTTTATCCCGGTTTTCCCAAAATTCCCTTATGGGGGGCCGAGCTCCCCCTACAACCCCTCAGGGGGACCCCACCCTCAGCGAGGCCACGCCCACCCTGACCACGCCCCAAAGAGGCGGGGCCAAGACATGTGTTTACACTGGCGCCCTTAGCAACCGCCGCGCCGTTGCTAAGGGCGGCGGAAATCTCGCGATACCCCCGCCCGGCCCTTGCTCAAAGCGGGCCGAGCTCTCGCGATGTTTGGCGGTCATGGCGGAGGCCAAGATGGCGGAGGCGGCTGTGGAGCTGCTCGACCGGGCGGCCCGGCGGGACGCGGCCCTCGAGGAGCTGCGGGCCCTGCGGGTCGCCCTGCAGGCTGTGCCGCTCGCCGCCCTCCGCGCCCGCCTCGGCGAGCACCACCTGGGAGCGCTCTTCGCCCTCCTCAGCGCCGATGACCGGTGAGCGGCCCCCACCGCCCCCTCGCTGCTGTGGCTGCTCCTCCCCGGCTCCCTCAGGGTGCGGCTGGCACAGGTGACACAGCCTCGTCCCCCTCCCTCTCTCTCACGGGTCGTTTTTTTCTCTCCATCCCGCTCAGGGAACAGGTGTCCACGTGTGTTTCCATCCTGGAGAGGCTCCTGCAGGCGCTGGACCCGCTGTACGTGATCCAGAACCTCCGGGAAGAGCTGCAGAAAGGGCTTTGTCACCCCGAGGACTCCGTGAAGATCCTCACCATAGCCCAGGTGCGGGGGTTCCTCCAGCTCTGTGTGCAGCCAGGCTGGCTCAGCCCTCAGCTCTTACTGCTGTTTCGTGCCCTAATTTGTGATAAAAGCACCACAGCACTGCAGGAATTGTGCTTTTACACACACACGTTTTAGGATAATCACTCTGCAGCGTGTTCATGCTTTATGGTGTGTCAGTTATAACGTATAAAACTGTCTTGACCAAAGTCACCTGTAAATGAACCTTCTGGTTAAAGCTTTCCCGGCCAGCACCACCAGCAGGTGCTGGAAGAATTAAAAGCAGCAACATTTTTTATATTCGGGATTCTTTATAAACAATGTTGTGTGAACCCCAAAGGGGAAGAGGTTGTGGCGACTTGGCACTTGTTGCAGTGATTTAAAAGACTCTTTCCTGTGGTTTGGAAACACTGGGGTTTGGAAAAAGCTCTGTTCTCTCTAATTCTTTGCCCAGGTTGGGAGGATTGTTGAAGACCCAGGTGCTGTCACAGAAATTCTCAGCAGCCCCGAGCTGCTCCGGCAGATCATCAACTGCATCGGGGGGGAGAAGATTGCAGTGGCCAAGGAGGTGAGCTGGGCTTTGCTGTTCATTCCTCTGCACAAAACACCTTTTCCAGGTGTCCAAGGTGAGCAGCTCCTGCCCCTCCCCCAGGGAAAGGTGGTGCCTGAAAGATTTTACTTGAAAGAGAAATCGCTTGGTCGGGATGGAAAATACACCCAGAACTGTCATCAAAGTGAACTTGTAAATCAGAATTTGATGCCAGAGCCTTGGATGGCAATAACCATAACTAGTTCTCATCAATAAAAACAAGCTGTAATTAAAATTAATGTGTAACTAGACCTAATAAAGAACATAAGCCTGATAAACTTGGATTTTTTTATTGGACTGTTTATTTTTAATAATACCAACTTCCTGGTTTTTTTTTTTTCGCTTCCAGGCCATCAAATCCCTGTCCAGAATAGCCCAGACACAAGAAGGCCTGGAGGCTCTGTTTGTCAGCAGTTTGTTGAGTGACCTGAAGAACGTCATGGCCACGAGTGACGTCGTTCGCTACCGCGTGTACGAGGTGGGGCTGCAGCTCCCTGGGGGGGGGTCTGATGGCTTTTAAATCACCATTTACCACTTCCTGAAAGTAAAATTCACACAGCTGGGTGTGGTGGTCTCTAAACCTCTGCATGTTGAAAGTTCTGGAAGGGGGGAAGAGATGAGAGAGGTGCCACGAGTGGCAGTTTAGAGGTGGATGGTAAAGCAGGAATAACAGTGTTTAGCCATTCTGGAGCTTCATGGGAATAGCAGAGGGAAAATTGGCTGTGAATGGAAGTAAAATACGTGTGCTGTAAACTTGGGACTCCTTATAAACAGATTTCAGGCAAACCTTTGGGTTAATAGTGAAAACATTGTGAAATTCTCTAATATATATAACATTAATCAGCATTATAAGGTGTGTTTGGCCATTACTGTGAATTGCTATCACTAGAATGTTTTTATAAACCACCCTTTCTTTTTTGTTTCTCTTTAGTTAATCGTGGAGATTTCTGCAGTGTCAGCAGAGTCCCTGAATTACTGTGCAAACAGTGGGTTAATAGCTGAGTTGATTGGGGAGCTCACTGGAGAGGATGTGCTGGTCAGGTATGTTGGGCTTGGGAAAACTCTGATATTCAGTTTTTAAAGACATTTGTGTGTGGGTTTTGTGAAACCCTTGGCAGGAAAACGCTTTCTCTGCCTCTGCTCAAGTGTAAAATCCTTTATACATTAATTTGAGAGCTGAGATGAAGCTTCCCCAGCGTGATGTGATGTGATAATTGTAATGTTTGGCTGAGCATGAACACTTTCAATTCTTTCCTACACCTCAAAAAAGAGCTGAGTGAGCTTGGAGGAGCTTGGACATTGGGGTGATTTTTTTGGTTTTTTTAATTTGGATTTTGTCTTACGTTTTTTTTAATCACTGAATACTTCAACCCCCTCTGAAAGATCCCAAAATTTGTGTGTTGCAGAGCCACCTGCATAGAGATGGTGACCTCACTGGCCCACACCCCCCAGGGCAGGCAGTACCTAGCTCAGCAGGGAGTGATTGACAAAATCTCAAACATCATCCTTGGAGCAGAGTCTGATCCTTTCTCCAGCTTCTATTTACCAGGTGACCTCATGCACCTCTTGTTTCCAGGCTTTGCTGCCTGCTTTTGTTAATGAGCTGAGTTGCTGAGCCGCTCTTTTGCGGGAGTTTTTGATCGTTAGGTGGGATGGGGAAGGTGATCAAAATATAAAATATTGGATGTATAAAAAGTACTGAAGGGCAGATTGACACATGAGGAATATTCCTCATTAACAGTGGTAGTGCAGGTAAGTGCTGTACCTTCTGGAGTTTGTAATTGTAGAATTTCTTTAGCAATGTAAAGGTTGTGAATTGAGGAACTGACAAAATCTTGTGTCTTTATACACTACTCAAACTGATAAATATAGCAACAAAACCACCTCACATTTGGTTTTGTCGTTGCTGAAGTTATTGCTCCTCCCCTCAGTGCCTCATTTTGGTCTCGTTTTCTCAGGGTTTGTGAAGTTTTTTGGGAATCTGGCAGTTGTCGACAGTCCCCAGCAGATCTGTGAGCGCTACCCTGTCTTCATGGAGAAAGTCTTTGAAATGGCAGAAAGTCAGGATCCCACCATGATTGGAGTGGCTGTGGACACGCTGGGAATCCTGGGATCAAACGTGGAAGGCAAACAGGTTTTACAGAAAACCAGTTAGTACCGTTTTCCTATAATAAAACCTCCTCAGCATGACCCAAGAGCGAATTGATTTGGTGTAAAAGCAGTTGGAAAATGTATTTACCTAATAAACACCTTTCTAACAGGACTGAGGGGTAACTCTGTGCTCATGTAGAGGTCTGGCTGACTTAATTTAAAGGCACTTTTTGCTTTTGTTTTGAAAGGAAGTAGATTCCAAAACCTGTTGAGCAAAATAGGGCACCAGGCCAAGAATGCCCCCACGGAGCTCCGGCTGCGCTGCTTGGATGCCATTTCAGCTCTTCTTTACTTGCCTGTGAGTTGGTGCTTGTTTGTTCTTCTCTCCTTTAAATCTACAATGAAATTACTGTTATTATACCTGAGTAATTGTGGGAAGATCTTCAGAAGCCTCTGGCTTAGGTAGAAGTGGTGCTTTCTACTATTCTGAGCCACTGATTGTACTGTTCAGAGATTCCCTGATGTATTTGTTTGCTTGAGGTCTGGCTTTGTTTGTAAGGAACCAGATGTTCTGAAATGTTTGTAAAACAAGAAGTCAAGACTTCACTGACAAGGGAATGGGAATAAACAGGTTTAACATCCTTGTGCTCAAAGGGATGGTGGCAACTGCTCTACACACACCCCTGTGGGTGTTCTTTAGATCCAGTGATTTGGGTTTAATGGTGTGGAGGAACCCATGTGAACATGCACTGAAAACCTGAAAGCTTTTCCTAACCTTAATCAAACCCTTTCATTTTTTGGTGTGATTTGTGCAGCCAGAGCAGCAGACAGAAGACCTTTTAAGGATGACAGAATCCTGGTTCACATCCCTGTCCAGCCAGCCCCTGGAACTCTTCAGGAGCATCAGCACTCAGCCATTCCCTGACCTGCACTGTGGGGCTTTACGGGTGTTCACTGTAAGTGCCTTTTGCTTTTAAAGATCAGGGAGTGAATTGTGTTGCCCTTCAGTCTCAGATTTATTTATTTTCTTAAAGTGAACACCACAAACTTCTTGCTGAAGCCCAGAAGTGGCCACAAACAGGCCCTTCTCCCTCTGCCCCACCTGCATTTCCCCATTTAAAGGAGGCAGCAGACGTGTCATGTCTGTAAATTGGAGAGGGTTAAAAAGGGCAGCAGCTGTGCTCCAGGGTGCTGCCTCCATCCCAGAGGCACTGCTGGGATAATTCCCCTCCAGCTCTGAAGAGCAGCACTGAGCTGTTCTTGTTGTGCAGTGTCAGACCCTGCTGCTTGATTTGAGTTGTGGTCCCACTGTGTGCAATGAATATCTCAGTTCATCTGTCCTGCTCCTTGGCTGTTTGCCAAAGAACCTACTGTGTGTAGCTACTTTTTTGGGGGGGTTAAACGAGATGTTTCCCCTCTCCCACACCTCTTCCTGTTTTTTTTTTAGGCCATTGCAAACCAACCATGGGCCCAGAAGCTGATGCTGCACAGCCCAGGGTTTGTGGAGTACGTTGTGGACAGATCTGTGGAGCCTGACAAAGCCTCCAAGGATGCGAAATACGAACTGGTGAAGGCCCTGGTAAACTCCAAAACCATTGCAGAGATCTTTGGCAATCAGTATTACCTGAGGCTCAGGGCTTACCTGCAGGAGGGCCCTTACTATGTCAAGGCAGTTTCTACCACAGCTGTGGAAGGAGCAGAATAACAGCACTGCTGCCTTGGGTCCCCCTCTGGCAACCCAGGAAACGGCTGTTGAGGTACAAGGTGTGAAGACTCTCCCCTCTGGGGTGTCTTCAGATTGTCTCTTTAAAGGAATGTGAGGATATTTTGACTCTGAAATTGAGTCACGAGAGCGAATTTAAAGCCTATTTGATGTTTCCCCGTAAATGTCACGGCAGAAGTTCCCTGTGTGCTGTCATGAGACAAGCCAGGTAAAGCACTTCCCAACTGCTGCACTTCCCAACTACTGCCTGTGTTTGAGTTTGCAGGATTTGTTGGTGGTTGGTTAAATTGTTGTTGGATTTGGAGTTCCCATCGTGTTTTCTCAGTAGGTTCCAGTTCAGTTAAAAAAGGGCAAAAACCAAACACCAAAACACCTTGAGGTTTGTAACCTCAGATGCTGCCAGAGTTTTTCTCTTCTTTTTTTTAATTAAAATAATTCTTTTTTTTTTTATATCTGCCAAAGTTGGCACTTGCATGGAACACACTCTTTGTCCTGTCACAATCCTGTTGCTAAGAACAAGCCCCGCTCTGTCCACACGAGGGAGTATGAACTGGATTCTCTTCTGTTTCTCAACCTGCTGGCTGTGAGTCTTGCTTGAATAAATAACCCCAAATACTGTTTACATTCGATGCTGAGGATTTAAACAACAAACCCTGTAGCCCTTTGTTGAAAACAAATCAATGCTGGAGTGGATCAAACCAAACTGGAGCTTTGCCTCCCTTGGCTGTAACGTGGTGGGGCAGCTCAGTGTGGTGGCTCAAAAGGAGCCTGAGCTGGAGCACTGCAAGGCTCCTTCAGAACCAAATCTTGAATTGTTTGTACTATTTTTTAACAGAGATGAATTTTTTTTTAAGTGTTATTTAAAGATGATTTTAATTGCCTGAGTTAAAGGGGTAAGGACACGAAAGTTTTGTCTTTGAGGGTGTGAATGAAGCAGGAGGATGGAAACGTTCCTTAGGAAGCTGGAATCTTCTTTTGAAGGTGTCAGATAACTGTGGGGGTGAATCAAGAGGTGTCTTTGTCCATAAGTGTACTTTATATCAAAGGCTGATATTATTTCTCTTGAGGACATGTTGGAGGAATAGCTGGGGGGGAGCATAACAAACCATGGCATTACCACTTTGGGGCCTGTTTTTAGTGATGTGGCAGTCAGGGATAACTCTGGGATGCTCCCCCCCTGTCCTTGTGCTGCCAGGGGAGCAGGAGGAGCCAGTCATGCAGGAGCTCTCTCCTGGCCTGTGGGAGGCAGAGGTGCAGCTGCTGTTGCCAAAAATCGCTGCCAAGGAGTGCCAGTGGGCACAGAGGAGCTGGGGAGGATCCCTTGGTGTTTGCTGAGTGTCTGGGAGGACTGATCTGCCTTGCTGCTCCAAGATGGACTGAAATTGTCCTCCTCCATGACCCTGCTGCTGCTTTCACCCCAAAAACGTGCCCCAAAAATACCCACTGGTGACAAATGTACCACAGTGTCTTGTTTGTAAACAGAGAACGTGGAGCTTCCTGAGTCCTGCATCCAGCAAAAACATCAAAGCACTGACAAGGAAATGAAAAGAGTGCAGAAGCCCTTCCTTTGCACTTGTTTGGGGCAGTTCAGCTTTGTTATTTTAGGTGGCTTTGTGTGCTGGTCGCTCTGTATGAGCCATATATGCTAAAAACCTCAGTAAAAGAAATCAATATCTAAACCTTTTCTGCAATTCATGAGTCTCCTCCATGTGTGTTTTCAGCTGCTGCTTTTGAAGGCCACTCTGTGTGCTCAGTCTTTAGCATCTGCTTTGTGTGGTACATTTGCCAAAGACAATATTTTAGAATAGGCAGAGATGCCAAACAAGGGTGGGTTTTTTTTATGTATGCACATATGCTTTGTTTTATTGAGCTTGGAGCTCAACATTGATCAATTGATCACTCACTTCCCCCTTATTATTCACTTGCAGTTCCCTGCCCATGCTGTATGTTACCATATGGGTTACATGCTGCTGTGGCTGATAGAAATGGAAAATTAAAGTGTCTCTGTCATCCCCTCCTTAAAGTAACAGGTGGAGATAATGGAGGAAAAACCAGAAATGGAGTGATGGAGAAGGAGAATTGAGGTAACACTCTAAACTTTTGGTGTAAAGAACAAACCTGACCCAAACAGGAAGCCCCAGACTGAAACTCAACACTTGGCCAAGGGTAACAAGCAGCATAACTTGGGATTTCAGAATTGTGGGTCCTTAGGAATAAATACACCTTTAATCCCGGTGGGAAGAGGTACATCCTGGGTGTCTCACAGCTCTAGGACAAAGCTGAGCAGCTGCTCCTTCTGCTGCTGAAAGAGTGGACCTGGGAGAGTTTATCTGGAGGAGGGAGGTGTGGGTGGGTTTTGTATCCTGGGATTTGTTCCTACTTTGGGGATTTTTTACATTTTGAATCGTGTTGATGTTACCAGTTTGTGGTGAATCTGTTCTGATCTCACTGCTGGTTGTGCTGTTGTGTCCTGGAGCTGCCTTGTCAGTGTGCTCTGACGTCATGACTGACAGAGATACAGGGTTCTTTACCAGGCAAGTTGGATTTCTTGCCTGGAATCTCCCTGAGCCATTTCCATGCTGGCTCAGTGTGTGCTCCTCTCCCTTTCCCTGGTGCTGTAAACCAGCTCCTTCTGGGGGTGGAAAGCTTCCCCTTGGGTACAGAATTCTCTGGAAGTAGGTGATGCCTCACTTGGATAAAAAATGTAGAAGGTGCTTTGAGGACTCAGAAGTCTGAAAAACACTGGAAACAGAGTTTCTTGGAATACTCTACTTTACTTATATGCATGCATTACATAGAGAACATCCAGTTCTGCTGCTGTCACACACTGGAGCTCTGGGAATTCATTTGCTGTTGAAGGGAGGAGACCTAACTTTGGGAGGGCATCATTGCTACTGATTCCTATGGAATGCTACAGGATAAAGCAGCTGCTAAAAGAAAATCCAACCTCTCTTCACCAAATCTAAACCCTAATTGACAAAATGAAGAACTTCATTTTTTATCCTGTCCAAGTTGAGCTGTTTGAACTTGTCAATGTAGGTCAGGACCCTGCAGGACACCAGGCTGTAGTAGGTTTCCAGCAAGGAACAATCTTCCCCACTGCTCGTTTCCTGCCAGGCTTTAAATAGCTCGTCCTCCTTCACGTTGGAAGAGGTGAAGATGAATTTGTAGCAGCACCGATTGTAGCTGATGTGCCTTCCCCCGGCAAAGCGGGAGCTGTGCATGGGAGTGATTCCAGCTCTCTTAGCGCAGATTCCCACGAAAACATCCGGGGGCACTGCCGGTGGCACCTCCTGGGCAGCCACGTAAACCTTGCGGGCGACGTCCTGGGAGACGACGAAGGCGCTGCCGTGGCAGAAATCCGGGAAGAACTCCTCGGGATACTCGTGGGTGGGAACAAAGGCAGGGCTGTGGGGGGCCCTGTCAGGCACTCCCTGGTGAACGACCCTCCCCAGGTAGATGTCCTCTAGCTGGGTTAAGCTCAGCAGGTACCCAGCCAGGCTTGCAACACCCACAAACACGTCCTCGTCTGCTTTGAGGATGAATCTCGCCTGGGGACAGAAAGTCACCGTCCACTCCACGCTCAGCAGCATCTTCTGTGTCTGCGTCTGCGGGGAATCGATGAAAGCGCCTTCAATGATGTCCCTGTGCTTCTGAGCCTCTGCACTGATCTCCAGCTGGGCGCTTTCCGAAGCTGCCTTTCCCACAGCAAACAGGGTGAGGACGGTGTAACCCCCGGTGTCCGTCACGTTGCCCCAGGTCTGCCTGATCCTGTCGCGCCTCGTCCTGTTCCCTGGGCTGCTGTGGACCAGGATGAGCAGAAACACCTCCTGGGCAGAGCACGTCGCTGCACTGCTGCCACTGCTGCCACTGCCAGACAGGTTGGCCTTGAGGGGCTCCGTGTCCAGCTTCCTGGCCCTCTCCCTGATCTCCAGAGTCTTGGCATCGGTGTAGGCCAGAGGGAAGGAACGCAGGAAATACTCCTCCAGTAAATCCGCCCCGAAGAGCAGCAGGTGGAAAAGCAGGAGGTTGAAGAGGATGAAGCACCACTGGTGAGTCCGGAGCCTGCAGAGGGTCGGCTGGGGAAGGGAAGGCACCGACACTCAGTTCTCCTGCCACTCCAACAAAAAGGCTTTCCTTCATTTTATAACATCAATCACAGCTTTTAGACCGTGGTCTTTGCATTTATTAGTTTGAAGGTGTTTTTCTCCTAGAAAGGGAAGGAATCTAAAGGAATGTACCTGTGGCTCAGCCACATCCCAAGCTGGGAAGGACATTACCATGTTGTGGTTCAGAAGGCTTCTTTTTGTGCCTCCATGTGTGGAAAGAGTAAGGAATAACCTGCTACTAATATTTTCTGACTATTTTTAAGCTGTTACTGAAGGCCTGAGGGGCTATTGAGGACCTGTCATGGTAATTCATGTCCTTGAAGAACTTCCCTATGACCTCACACTGCCCTAGGGGAGCTGGCAGGGTAAGAATCCAGGCTGAACGGGGCTTGGAGCAACCTGGGCTGGTGGAAGGTGTCCCTGCCCATGGCAGAGGGTGGAACAAGATGATCTTTGGCCTCCCTTCCAACCCAACCCATCCCATGAAAGCTGTAGGAGGCTGAAGCACTTACCTGCATGGTGGTGGGAGCTGTCCCTGCAGCAGGGGCTGTGTGGGCAGTTTGTGCCTGGCAGTGCCTGTATCTGGGTCTGCAGGATCCAGTTACTGCCCAGTACCTGCAGGCTGTGGCTTCCCCTCAGCTGTCTGGGAGGAGGAAAGATGATCCTGAGGGGGTGATCATGTTGCAGCCGCAGAAAACAAAGGGAACAAACCCCTGGCCTTTCCCTTTATTAATTTCCAACAGTTGGGGTGGGGTCTCAGCAATAAATGAAGGAACTGCTGGGGCTCCCTTGGTAAGAGGGGTCCCTGGTGCTGCTGTGAAGCTGTTGTTGATGTGCCCTTTGCTGCTGGAGTTTGGGGTTGTGTTTCGTGGTGGTTCCCAATCCGTGGTGGGAGATCCCTGCACTGAGCACTCTGCACCCCCTGAGCAGGGGGTTTGGGGTGGGAACTTGGGGGTTTGCCTTGGAGGGAGGGGCTGTGGGGGACACCCCGAGGCTGTGGGTGCTGCTGGGCCAGGCTGTTCCCAGCACATGGAGCTCTGCCCCTGGACAGGCTCCTGCCGGAGCTTCCAGGAGCTTCCATGTGTTACTGTTGGCTCAGGCCTGGGCTGGGCTGGAGCTGACTGGGCTTGGGGAGCTGCAGGGGACTGGAAGTGCTGGAGGGGGAAGTGCCAAAGACACCACAAACAGGATGGAGGTGTCAGCAGGGGGAGAGTTGGGTTTGGCAGAGGGTCTGTGGAGCCTGCAGAGCTCCGAGGGGAGAGGGGCTGGTGGGTCCCCAGGGGATGGTGGCAACGGTGCTGTTCGATGGGGAATTGAGGTGGGAGGTGTCAGTCCTCATCAGCACGACTGGGAACTCCATGTGGGAAGAGGGAAACCAGATTTCTTTTTGGTTTTGGAAAGGTGTCTCATAGGTCAGGGTGTGTTTCTGTTCCTGCCTCCTTGGGGGAACGGGTGCAAGGAGGGGACACAATGTTGCTGTGGTTTGGCTTTGATCATTCCAAACCTCCCTCAAGCATCCCTAGGGGAGCCTGGATCAGCCAAATGACCCAGGGAGATGGAGCAGAGCTTTGATTTCTGGCTTGGGATGTCCAGGATTAATCCCCCACCTCTGGCTGAGCCCCTCAGCTCTCCCAGCTGTGTTTGGGAAAACACAGGGAGCAAAAGGAATTGCGGATGAAAACAGCTCCTCAAAATGTGGTCACAGCTTGGAAGTGCATCCTGCCCCCAAACACATCCTGCTTTAGGCTTCCCCAAAAGAGGGAGAACTCATTTCCCAGAGCCTGTGTGTCAGCTGGGCTGCAGCTTCATCATCTGGAGCAGCCTCACACTCTGAAATCCTCCCCAAAGTTGTGCTTTGAAGCCTGGGGAGCTGAGCTGTCAGCACGGGAAGTGTCAGTTCAGTGAGTGCTCTGAAGGAAAAAGCTAAGAAGGAGACCCCTTTCATGTACAATAATACAACCCTGCCCCCTCAGCTTCCCATCCTGGGGGGAAAAAAAAAAAAGCAGTCCTCTGAAGATGTTAATGAGCAAATAAGTACTAAGTGTATGAAACCCCTTCCATTAAAAATGGTGTGTCCTTAGAATAATGATAAAATAATAATTATACACCCCATCTGTGTGTCATCCCTGTGGCAATTAGGCCCAGCATGGTGCTTGCAGCGCTGCTCCAGTCATTGCTTCAGCTCTGCTTTGTGGGGGCAGCAGGAGCTCTGATACCACATCTGCACTATTGACACTCCCCAACCACGGCATGAGCAGCTCCCAGATGTGGGGTTTTGTTTATCCACAGAGCCTGCCTGAGTCCCACTGGGAGAAAGCTGAGGAACAGCAAGGAAAAGACTCCTGAAGGGTAAAGTAACTGGTCTGGGAGTTCAGGGACTCTGCCTGGGGGTGATCCCTCCATCACCTTTAAACCCAGGATTCAGGGCAGTGCAACACCCAGCAGCTCACGTGTGACCTTGTCTCACTTTTCAGATGGATAAAGTGAAGCTCATTCAGGGAAATCCTCACTCCCAGGGAGAGCCCAGAGTTTCCTGAAGAAGAGGGAATTCAGGACCCCCAAGTGGCTGAAGTCAGGTCAGTGGGGTAGGAATGCTGTCCCTACAGCTGCACTGAAACCCTGCACAATCCTGTGGGTGTAAATTAGGGAAACAGCCAGGAAAGCAGGTTTTCCTGAGCCACAGAACTCGGGTGTTTTCACATTTTCCTTGAATTTTATGTCCAAGCAAACCTCATTACAGGAGCAGGAATGTACCAGTAACTCTGCAGACAACCTGACCTGCCCTAAAGATGTGAGTGTTCAGATTGAAGGATGTTTGGAGTTTGGGTTTGCTTTTTTTTTTGAAAGGAAGAGCCCTGACCTCCTGCCAGATCCAAAGAGCAGAGCAGAGGTTCCAGGAGGGCAGTGGGAGATGCTGTGGAGCAGGAGGTGCCCGGGGCAGGCAGGGTGGGCAACATGCTGAGAGGAGCAGCCGAACCCACAGCTTCTTCAAACACCTCCTAGAGCCTCCTGGCTTCCCTCCCAGTGCTGGGAACATTTGGAAGGGGGAAGCAGAGCCTGGCTGGTTTCTGTTCTGCTTGACTCTGCTTCGTGAGGATGTGAAGGCTTCGGATGACGCACCATTCTCAGGCGCTGGTGCAGGAGAGGGTGGATGGATGGGGTTTGTTGGGAAAATCCAGTGAAAATCGGTTTTTTTCCTCAATATAAATTTGTTCAGATATAAAAACTTGAGGCTCAGCCTGCCCCAGGTGTCTGTGTGGTTGCTCTGTGCTGAGCCCTGTCCTTCCCTGCAGGGTGGACACCCCTCTCCATGCCCCACGGTGCCCCCAGCTCTCAGGCTCTTCCCAAAAGATGGATCGATTCCCACAGGCAGGTTTTCAGATTTTTCACTCCACTGTCGCTCCAGAGGCAGGGCAGAACCCACCTGTAGGCAGGCAGCTTTTGTGGCACTACATCCCTTTCCACAAGGCACTCCCTGTGCCCTCATGGAGACACTTGGCTTATTTTAAGGGTCAGAGCTGCCCCCTGTCATCCCACCAGTCCCCAGATGGGATGCTCTGGGAACACAAAGCACTCCCAGAGTCCCCACTGTTCCAGCCTGCCTTTTGCAGGGTTTCACACAGACCTGAGAGCACGAGGGGCTGCAAAGGGACTTGTCTGGTTTTTAATAACAGCATCACTTGCAAGAAGCAGAGACGGCTGTTTTGGTCTTAGTCACCTAATGGCAATGTTTGTGCTTGAAGAGATGATTCAGCTCTTGCAGGCAGCTCTTCACCTTACCTTCTCCAAGGGGTTTGGGGGATGACGGAAGAGGGGGCTTTGTAAGAGTTCCACAGAGTGTGTTTCACTTAGTTTTGATATTTAATGTCCCTTTGGGTGTTAAATATAAGTAGAAACCTGAAAGCCAAGCGGAGGAACCTGAGCACTGACACACCAGCCAAACAGCTCCTGGTGTGCAGGTGGAGGTGTCTTTGCCTCTGATTTAATGGCTCACTTGATGACACTAAAACCAGGTTTTTATAGCCAAGTTCCCTGCACTCTTTTTTTATTTTTTTTTTCTTTGCAGGCATCAGTCTCGGAGTTCCAGAGCTGACTCTTTTTGTTTGGCATGTTTGATTATTACTTCTTGAGATCAGTGACAGCTTTGACAGCTACCTACCTCTGTATTCCCGGACAGAGACATCCCAGCCCCCTGTGTGTCTGGAAGTGCTGCTTCAGCCTTGGAAATGCTGAGCTGAACATGAGCTGAGAGTGGAGAGAGCATGAACTTGTGGAAAATGTGGAGCTGTGAGGCCAGGGGGCCGAGCGGGTTCTCCTCACCAAGATGCCACCAGGAGAGAGAAGCTGTTTATTTTGCAGCAGCCCAGCAGTCCCCCTGTTGTTGCTCATTCTCACAGTGTGCTGTGAGGGTGCTTTGCTCTTTCATTGCCTGGAGCCAGGCTCAGGCTGGATTTGTGCCTGGCAGGTTGAGATTCCCATGAAATTCCTTTGACAGGCACAGCATCGGCAGCAGCGTCGGGGCCTTGAGTCCGGCCGTGCTTTGACTGCGGTCGGTCCACGCTCCGACAGCATTTACAGCTGGGAGTGGATCCTGTGCCGCTGTTCCCAATTCCCTGGTCCCTCTGGGGCTGGTGGGGGGTCCACGTGTGTCTGGGTGATGCACCCAAAAAGGCAAAGCTGCCCAAGCTCAGGGAGGGAAACGGGAGCTGGAGGCAGGTTCTGGGGCTCGAGCAATGCCCCAACCCGTCCTCTCCAGGTCCTGAGGTGCTGGATGGATCCAGCTGTGCTCCCACTGGTGCCCCAGGGATGGAGAGGGGGCTGCAGCCCTCCCAGCTGTGGCCACTGTCCCCCATCAGCCTCTGGCAGGGTGCTCGAGGTTATCAGGACAAGGACACCCTCGGACACGAATCCCTGGAGCACCACGGTGAGCTGGACTCGGGTAATGTGCTCTGCAGAAAATGACTTTCTCTCTCCCTCCTGTCTCTGACTCATCCCATTTTTGCCTCCCACAGATTTATTTATTGCTCTCCCAGACACAGAAACAGCCGAGTTGAGTCTCCCTGCCCTGTGCCAGCCCCTCCTGGAGCAGTGATCTGCCAGAGCTTCCCCACACTCACCCCTGGGGGGTCTCATTCCCAGCCATTCCCAGCAACCCCCCTGTGCTGCTCCCCCAGCCTGGCTCTGCTCTGGAGAGCTCTTGTGTTCCCATGGAGCACATGGCCCTGCAAATGGCATCCCTGGATGTGCCTGTTCCCTGGCGCTGCTCACTCCCTGCCGGGCGGGACTCCCCTCGGGATCTGTGCTCTCCTGCTCCGGGGTGGGGTGGGAATGTGAGGATGCTGAAGGGGCTTCCCAGCAGAGCTGTGGGGGCTGAGGGAGTCCAGAGGAGGAGGGAGTGTCCTGTAGTAGGTATGTGAAATCCTGGTTAATTGGATGTTTGCGTTAATAGGGTGAGTTAATTTCCCTCTTTGGGAAACGGGGATTTGTAGCATCGATGGCATTTCGGGAAGCACTGCAGCTGGGGGCAGGGAGGACCAGCTCAGCCAGAGCCGTGCCCCCAAAATGCTGAATGCTGCCTTTGCTGAGAATGCTGCTGTGCCTTCCCCCACCTCCCCCTTGGCTTTGGGGGTGCAGGGAATCGAGCCGGAGTTGGGAGCAGTCCCCAGGACAAGGGTTCTCTTTGGGTAGGATCCCACCCAAGTGGGAGAGCTTGTCCCTGTGCAGTCCCCCTGCCACACAGAGGGGCTGGGGTGGCACCAGTGCCCTTCCAGGGCAGGGGCAGGTGGGACCAGACCCCCCTTCACTGCTCGAGCTCCAGGATTTGGATGGGGACGTTCCCTTCTGGTTCTTTCTGTTTCGTTTTCCTCTTTTCTCCCCGTCCCCACCCCCCGTAACTGTTTTTAAAGAATTCCTCCCCCACGCCTGTGTTATCACCCAGCGTGTCAATACGCTCCGTGCCACCCACCCCCTCCTCCCGGAGCCGCACGTTAACGATTTGCACCAGATAATGCCAGGCAATTAGTGAATGAAGAATAACCTTCCCACTTAAAAGCATGATGGGTCGGGAAGCATCACGCGGGTGGATTGCACGGGGAGTATTAATTGCTTTTCTCTCCAATGACTCCCAGTGTAGGAGAGTCCATATGGAGGGAGAGGAGGAGGAAGAGGTGCTGCGGGAGAAACAAAGTGTCTGGTCCTGGCGAGGAGCTGTGAAGAGCCTCGGAGTGGGCCCTTCCCTCTGGAGCGGGGGGTTGTGGCACAGCGGGGGCTGTGGCACCGTGGGATCCAAGGCCCGGGGGTCCCGGGAGCAGTGGGTGGGGAGGGTGGGGGGATCCCGGGGTCAGGGGGAGCTGATGGAGAGAAACCACCGCTCTGGGAGCAGCTCCTGAGCGGTGTCACCTCCCCGGGGTGTGACTGAATCAGGGTTTGGTGTTTTGGGTGGTGGCGCGCAGTGGGAGCTGCTCGGTTTGCAGCTGTTCACATCTGGCCCACGAGGGGGGACACAGTTTTGGGGCACTCTGTACTTGGCCACGTCGTTACAGGTGGCACCTCCTGACTCCTGGGGCTGAACTTGGAGGGGAGAGAAGGCACCTCGGGTCCACCCCGTTAACCCTTTCCCGGAGCCAGCCGGCTCGTCTCCAGGCGGATCCCGCTGTCCCTGGGCTGGGGCCATTCCCCAGCGGGGCCGTGTTGTTGCAGCAGGGCCCCCCTGGGAGATGAACGCCCCCGGCCCGGGCGCGCAGCACGGCACAGGAATTCCCCGCAGGCAGCGGCTCGGCCCGGCTGTTTGCGTTTGGCACAACCCCGAGGCGCAAATATTTGTGTGGGAAGTAGAAATGAAAACCAAAGGGGGGGGGGAAGATAAAAGAAAAATCAAGAAAAGAAGAAAGGAAAACGCAGAGGGGAGGAGAGGGAAAAAGGAAAGGGAAAAGGAAAGGGGGAAAAGGAAGAGGAAAAGGAAAGGGGAAAAGGAAAAAGAAAATAAAGAAAGCAAAGCCCCCCGGGGGTCGTGCAGAGGCCGGAGGCGAGGGACGCGCCCCGGGGGTCGCCGACTCCCACCCCGGCGCGGGGGTCGCGGGGCCGGGGCGGGGTCCGAGGGGGCAGGCGCGGCCCCGCCGGTGCCGCCCCCGGCCCGCCCGCACAGCCCCGCACCTGTTGCCGCCCGCGCCCCGCCGCGCTCCCCGCGGCGCCAGCCCCGCCATGCGGAGCGCCCGCGCTGCCCGCGCGCTGCTGCGGGGCGAGCCGTGATGGGCGCGGGGCACCGGCAGCGGGACCGGGACCGGGACGGCGGCGCAGGCTCTGCCCGCGGCCGGCAGCCCCCGGCCCGCGCCCCCGGCAGCGAGAGCCGCCCATGCCCTGCCCCGCCTCGCCGCGCCGGGGCCCCGCGCCGCTGCGCCCATGCCGTTCTCGGGCGAGGAGCGGAGCCTGCAGGGCATCTACAAACCGGCGGGGCCGGCGGAGGGGCGGCCGCTCTGCCCCGAGTGCTACACCAACCGCTCCTTCGTGTACGACGATGGCAGCGCGCACAGGTACCGGGGGTGCCGCGGTGCGGTGGGGTGGGATGAGGGGGGGGACATCTGGGGGCGCTCCGCCTGTGCCGCCGTCGTGGGGGAGCCCCTCGTGCAGCCGGGGAAGCCCCTTCCCCTCCCGGGTGGGAGCGGCAGGACCCCCGACCCGCACGCCCACCGCACTCCCCGTGCCCCCAGCCTGGGGGAAAGTTTCGGTGGCGCTTCCAGGCCTGGCTGGGGGTCCCTGCGAACGCCCCTCCGGGCACAGCACCTCGGGAATGGAGCAGTCGGGGGCTGCCTGGCTGCGAGGAAGGGGTGCTTGGAGACCCCCGAGCAGTTCCCGGTCACGTCTTTCTTTGGAAGAGGGTGGATGCTGCCCTTCTGTCGAGCCCAGCACGGACCGAGGCCACGCTCCGGGGCGTGTTGGTCGGGCAGGGTTTGGCTGAGCCCTGAAACCACAACAAAGCCAAGGGGTGAAAATACACGCAGGCAAAACCCTACATTTCCACAGTTGCATCACAGCCCGTGGTCCGGCTTTGGGCTGGTTTCGTGCCCAAGTTCCAATGTCCAGTCTGAGGGAGGGGCTGCGGTGTGGAGGGGAAGGGCTGCTCGAGGGGATCACAGGGACTCTGCTTCTCTTGTGCCCGGCAGCAGCAGCTGCTTCTCCCATTGGAACGAGTGCTTACTGCTGAAGCGTCCCAGCTTTTCCTCATAAATCTTTTATATTATCATTGTTCTGATTAAATTTTCTAGTGCGGTCTTTATGACTGTCACACTCATCAAATGTCAGCTCAAATGAGCAAGTGAAGTGTGTGCATATCAACTCGTGCTTGGCAGATAAGGACCTTGGCTGGCTTTGTGCCCTGGGCTGCTCAGCTGGGGTTTTCTGCGTTGGCATCTGCTCTCTATGATTTAGGGTAACAATCTTCTATACCTAAAAACCTAAGTGAAAAAAGAAGGAATAGTGCGTTTGGCGAGCTCTTTAACTCGCAATACGTTTCCACTGACTGGGCAATTAGCGAAATCGTTGAATGTTGGGTTTGGGGATTAAGTGCCTCATGATCACCCCTGCTGTCCCCTTTGTCAGAGGCACAATGCCCAGTGTGCCCAAGGACCCCCTAAGTCCTGAGCACCCGTTTGGCTGCCTTGGGCACGCCAGGGTGGCTGCAGAGCACGCTGCCTTCCCCAGAGCCAACTGCCTCGTTTTGCAGCTGTGCTCGGTGTGTTTGCAGAAACGACACCCTTGAGGAGGTCGTGGAACGTGTCTGTGTGTGGGGGAAGATCAGGGATCAGGCTGGAGACGACAGCTCGTGGAGGGTTCCCCACTCCAGCGTTACAGGGTGATGATTAATTGCTCCTCATTACGCTCAGCCCTGCACAGGGTCATTTATCCTCATCTAAAAAGCACAACAAAATCCTTGCTCCAAGGTCCTCCTGCCTGTCTCTTTCAATCTGAATAGAAGAGCTTTGTTTCATAATTATGATCATCCAGCTCGATGTGTTTCTAACCCCCTCAGGCTGCGGGGAGGTTGAAAAATGCCATCGCTCTCCGTGGCTTGTCTTGCCTGCCCTTGTGTCTGGCCCTTTGCTGCCCTTCTGGAGATATTAAACAAGCTGGTTGGAGCCCCCGGGGCTCAGCGTTTCCCCAGCTCCAGCTCGGAGCAGCCTGGTCTCTAATGTACTTTTTCAGAGCTGTTCAGCCGAAGAAGAAGCAGAAAATGATTGTAAATGGGCTAAAGGGACAGGGCAGAGCAATAATCACCATCTCCCCCATTAGACGATCCCAGGGGCCCCCTGGGCTAATCTGCTGCTTGGCTTCCTCTTCTGCAGCTTGCACTGGGGGGGCACATCAGTGTCATCATCCACACGTAACAACCTGCTGTTGCTCGGCCTCTGCCTGATTGTCCCTGGGTTTCACCTCGAGAGGGCTGTGGGGTTTGTGGGGTTTGTGTCTGACAGGGGCACAATCCCCGGGGCAGATCAGGGCTCAGGAGCCCGATGATATCTCCTCCCTGTGCCTCCTCCCTGTGCTCCCAGGCACAGCTGTGGGTGTGATGGCAGACGAGCAGCCCCTGTCACCAAAGGTGTGGGTGAAGGGTGTGAAAACCAGACCATCTCCCAGCAGCAGAGACGTAGAACGAGTTCACTGAACCTTCTGCTGAATGTTCAGGGGACTTCAGCTGGGCTGAAATAAATGGAAGCCTCGATTATCCCCTCCCTTGGCAAGTCTAGAGGTGTCTGAGAAGCTGTTCAAGAGAAATTCCATGTTCTCGGTTGCCTGAGTGTGGAGATGTGTGTGTAAACATCTGTGAGCCTCCTCCTGGCCCTCTTTCTAAGGGGACGACGGTCCTGAAAGTCCCTTCCAGGTGGAAAGCAAGGGGTTAACTGTAAAAGCACTTGAAAGTTTGTTTGGAGAGTAAATACACATTTCTGGCACCCAGAGGGTAGAAATAGCCTAATTTTTACTTTCCTGCCTCATGGGAAATCTGGGTAAATGTTTGTACGAGGAGCCGGGCTGTCACTTAGGAGAACGTTCAGGATTTCCTTTGCCTTGCCCATGTAAGGGCACTCTGGGCTGCGATGGAGGAGCGGCCAGATGGAAGGACTCACCCAAAAATACCCGGCACGAGCCCGGGGGGCCGGCGGGAGAGGCAGGGCCGGGCCCGGAGGAGCCTTTGGCTTTTCCCTGGGCCGCCTCCCGCTGCCATGGCTGGATAGAGCGGGAGGAGAGGGGAGCAGGAGCTGCCTGGAGCAGCTGCTGGGCGGCATCACATGCTGGAGTTACACGTATGTGGCTTTTCTCCTGTCTGTTCTGAACGTTTCTGAAAGCTCTGTGGGGGCTGCTGCGCTCAGCTCGGGCTCTGGGAGGTTGTTTATCCCCCTGCTGCGGGATTGGGAGCGGGATGAGGAGGGGAGGTGGATCCCAGCTGCTCCGGAGCTGAGGTTGGGGGCTGGAGAGCAGCAGTGAGGGAGGTGGAAACCAGGAGGTATCCGAGCAGCAAAGGTGTGGAACACGTTCAGTGAACCTTCAGCTGGGCTGAAATAAATGGAAGCCTCGATTTATCCCCTCCCTGGGCAAATCTAGAGGTGTCTGAGAAGCTGTTAAAGGGAGATTCCATCTCGGTTGCCTGAGTGTGGAGATGTGTGTGTAAACATCTGGGAGCGACATCTGTAAACAACCCCTGAGCACTGCTGGCCTGGAAGCTCAGGATGTGCCTTTGGAATGCCAGCTGGCTTTGGCAGGGGCTTGGTTTGACAGGGGTGGGGTCTGTCCTCAGTCCCACCTGGCTGGGCAACCAGGAGAGGTCTTTTGGCCCTAAAAATCAACAGGAAGATTTTGGAGCAGTGGCAGAAGGATTAAAAATGCCCGTAGGCACCTTCTGGTCAAAGGCAGAAGGAAAGGAAGAAGCATTGGTTAAGTGTGAGCACTGATCCAGGCCTGGGATGGCTCTCCCATGGCTTCTCCTGCTAATCCTGAGATGTATCCAAGGAACTGTCTCAGTTTAGCACCAGGATGGTCCCTGCAGTGACAGCCTGTTGTTGTCTCTTAAGTTTTCCATTTTCTGGAAATGAATATAAAGAGGATTCTTTGGCAGAGCTTGCACTGAACCAGACTGTGTAGCTAATTAATAACCAGTTCCTCCAGGCAAGAGAACTGGCTTGGACATTTATCAGCTTCCAAAAAGTCAACCTTGTGGATTGCAGCAACTGTTGCTTTGGCTGCCCGTGGGGATCCTGGCCTTGCTGTTCTGGGGGAAATTGCAGTGGGGAGCCATAAAAACTGCAGGGCCAAACACTCTGTATTTTCAGAGTGTTTATGTAGCAGAGAAAAGAAGGAATTCTGCTCTTGTTTTCCTCAGACAGTTAGGAAAGGGGAGCAGGTGGTTCTGGAGTGCTCCAGGAGAGCACCTGCCAGCACACCTGGGTCGGTGGGAAGAGCTTTTTGGGACCCCCCCAAAACCAAGTTTAACAAAGGACCCCCTATGAGCTGAGTGTTCTCCTTTACTGGGGAACAGCAAAATAGGTCATTGCCTGTGCTCAGGGCTCTTTTCTGCTCTGCAAAAATATTTACAGCCTCTATTTGAATCCTCCCCATTCTCCTCCAGCGACCTCTCCCTGACCCCCACGCCTGGTTCCCGAGTGCTGCACGCAATTTGTTTTGGAGCCTGTGAAGGTTGCTCTTGCATCCTTGCCAGGCTGGGCTGGAGTGTGGGACATCTCATTCATCCTTCTCGTGAATAAAACCAGGCCGTGTCTGAGCTCAGGTGCCTCTGGCCTGGTGTCCTTCTGAAGTGGCTGGTGAAGCTGCGAGAGGGAAGGTTGAGATCAGGTATTGGGAAGGAATTCTCGGCTGGGAGGGTGGGCAGGCCCTGGCACAGGTTGCCCAAAGAAGCTGTGGCTGCCCCTGGATCCCTGGGAGTGTCCAAGGCTGGGTTGGGAGGGCTTGGAGCAGCCTGGGCTGGTGGAAGGTCCTTCCCAGGGCTGTGCTGCTGCAGCCTGTCGTGGGGATCCTGGAGATTGGACCCAGTGGCTGTGCTTTGACCACCTGCATGGATGCCCTGAGATTCACCTGCTCCCTCTTGAACCTGTTGGTACTTTCTGCCTCCACAAGAGGCTGTGGCTCCTTTGATGCAGCTGTTCTGTGGCAAAACATGCTGCTTTTCCCTTTGATCTCCCTGTGCTCCTGTGATGTGTTTGCTCCTTGGTCCTCCGCTCTGATTTTTGTCTGCCTTTCATCACTTCTCTTTCCAGGCTTAAGACTCCTCCTGATCTGTTGGGCCTCTCCCTGTACAAACCACTTTACAACCTGTAGTTGTCTCTGGTGCCCTTTTCTGTGCTGTATCCTTTCTGAAGAGAGGAAACCAGGAGTGTCTGGGACCCCGTGCTGTATA